GGCATATGCATTTAATAAAGTAATAAATATATCAATGTCTGAAGACTGATGCCATGAGAACTCACCATTCATAGACCACTGTGTCACCATCCACCAAACATGGCACTGTCTCATGAGGGTTGGCCAACTGCAGCTGACGCAGATGCTCACCTGACTCATCCACATTGATCAGATCAAAATTCAATTTGTTCTTAGAAAAATAAAAAAAAAATGAATATGGTAAATGTTTTTCTTCACAAAATACTTATATTAGCAAGTTTGGTTACATGTATATGATGAGATACAAATTTAGAACTCATAGGGAACCCAGATTCAAGTAGAGACAAGCAGTACCATAATTTTTCCCCCCAAGTCTGTATAGAAAATTACCTGTAGCAGGTATAACCATGCTAGCCTTGAAGTGGCACTCTTCTTGCTGATGAACAGTAGTAACCTGCCTCCATGAGCTACCTGACCCAAAGACTTGAGGTCTGGAGGCTGAATGCTGGCCCTTCTCCCACTCATGTTGGCCAGACAAAGTTTCACACTCTTCAGCTAACTACACACCTATTCAGCACCTCTGACTCTGATAAGGTGGTAAGATAGTGCAAGGATTTGAACATTTAATTGAGCTGCTCCTTGACTACCTGGTATGCNGGCCTATTTTGTTATTTCCTGCTTTTTGTCTGTACATTTGACAGCTTTGCTGCCTTGTTGGCATATGCATTTAATAAAGTAATAAATATATCAATGTCTGAAGACTGATGCCATGAAAACTCACCATTCATAGACCACTGTGTCACCATCCACCAAACATGGCACTGTCTCATGAGGGTTGGCCAACTGCAGCTGACGCAGATGCTCACCTGACTCATCCACATTGATCAGATCAAAATTCAATTTGTTCTTAGAAAAATAAAAAAAAATGAATATGGTAAATGTTTTTCTTCACAAAATACTTATATTAGCAAGTTTGGTTACATGTATATGATGAGATACAAATTTAGAACTCATAGGGAACCCAGATTCAAGTAGAGACAAGCAGTACCATAATTTTCCCCCCAAGTCTGTATAGAAAATTACCTGTAGCAGGTATAACCATGCTAGCCTTGAAGTGGCACTCTTCTTGCTGATGAACAGTAGTAACCTGCCTCCATGAGCTACCTGACCCAAAGACTTGAGGTCTGGAGGCTGAATGCTGGCCCTTCTCCCACTCATGTTGGCCAGACAAAGTTTCACACTCTTCAGCTAACTACACACCTACTGTATTCAGCACCTCTGACTCTGATAAGGTGGTAAGATAGTGCAAGGATTTGAACATTTAATTAAGCTGCTCCTTGACTACCTGGTATGCAGACTTTCAGTTTAAGTCATTGGTTCAAGGCAGCAATAATTGGAGCTGGTGCAGTTGGTATGGGTCTGCTGATAATTCTTAATCAAATATTATAAAGGGATCGTAAAAAGAAATTTATGTTAGTCACACATCAATAACTTGATATGTATAATAAAATGACAACAGCTAGGTTCATTGCATTTTTATGGCTAGTGACATTTACGTTCCTGATAAAGTCAACAAACAACACCTTTGTGTAAACATGAATTCTTCATAAGTTTGTGCATTTAAGTAGTTTATTTCAGATGAGGTAGTCTTGCATAAGATTTGATGTTCAAAATTCGAAGTTTAATATATGATATATGCAAAAAAGGATAGCTGAATAAAGCTACGTGGAAAAAGATTTGGAGAGGGGAGTGATCAAAGGAAGTTAAATTTATTATATTGAAGTATATCAAATCTTAAAACCTAGGAGTCATCTGAAAGTTCATTTATGACTGTTTAATACATGAAAATATTCAATTTCTTTTTAGGTACGTGCACTCAATGGAATCCCCAGCATAGGTGAGAAATAAAAAAAATTGAATTGAACAATATGGTTTTAATGTGTGGAGGCATTAAAAGATAACACGTGTGTGTGTGTGTGTGTGTGTGTGTGTGTGTGTGTGTGTGTGTGTGTTTAAAGACTGATATATATCATCGCCTTCATCTGTAATTACCGTCTCTATGTACTTTCATGGATATTTTTTTCACAAACACCATGAGATGACTTACAGAAATAATTCCTTTGTTTTTGCTGATGAAGGACATAAAAAGTGAACCACTCTTTTAGTTCTAATCTTATATTATCTCCTACAGTGTCAATTTTAAAGAAGGTGAAAGTTGAAACAATCCAAAACCGAGCATGTCGTGCCCTGGCAAATCTGGCTGTGGATGAAGAGAATGCAGAAATCCTGGTTCATTCTGACCTGCTAGAGCATGTGATTGATAACCTCAGCAAGACAGAGACTTCTGAATGCCAGCAAACTTATGTCAGATTTATCAGGTAGGAATACTAATTCACAAATTTCTATAGATCAAAATTGTTATGTTCAAGAATTAAATGCAAAAGTGCTTATTTTTAAATTTGAATGGGAATTGTAGAAAAACTATGATAGCTCAAGCTCTCAAATTTTGCACATAGGTGCAATAGCATATAAAGTAATAATGTACTTGTATCAAATTTTAATTCAAACTGTTGTGTACATTTTGAAGTAGGATGCTTGAAATTTGGAGCAAACCATGACACTTATGCCTTCATGATCTTGACAAAAACAGGAAATGCATGATGTCACTCAGTTGTATTTTGGAAGCTGTCAGATGAGAAAGACTTCAAAGCTTATGCAAATGTTGATAAAATAACCATGCAGATTATAAAAGATTCAATAATCAAAACGTAAACTACGTAATTAGAGAGCTTAAATTGTGTATTTCTGACTTTGAATTTTTAGTGTGAACAAAGTGTACAGTGCACATTGAAGACATTGTAAACAAGCATGTAAATGATTTGTTTGATACAGTGTTTACATTGGGCATGCCAGGAAACACAGTGAAAAAACACGTACCTCTATTCTGGTTTTCATTGATTTCTTGAAGGGCGAGTCAATTACCTTTAATAATATTGTGTTGGAAAATTAACGATAAAAATGGGCCCTAAAATTTTACTGGATTGACATTTACTTCTTAAAGTTTGATTGAAATTTGAAATGTTTATTTCCAAATCTGTATTCCTGAAACAGTAACCATGGTGACAGATGAATCATGATGTGTAAATAATCAGATGATATGCAATGACGTGTTATTGTTGTAGAATACTGGGCTCCAAGGCTTCAAATAGGTCCATTGTTTGTAAGGCTGATGGGTTGAAGGCTGTTGCCTTGCTGTTAACTGGCTCAGGCTCTGGTTTGCTCACTGCAGTTACAAGAACTATTGCTGAATATACAAAAGGGTATGTTTTATGTTTTTACAGGATTGTTCTTTGTTCCAAATGTACTGCACATTTGAGTAGTTAAATGGTTCATTATTTAAATGTAAAATACCCAAACTTATTGTGTAAAGCCCTTTTGCAAAATAGTTATATTTGTATCAATTGCTTGATTACAGATGTTTAGCATTAAAACAATTGTTTCACTTTTTGAAATGTGCACTTTGCAAGACAATTTCATTGTGTTAAATGTTTTGTTTTAAGGTACAGTGTTGAGTGCATTCAACAGATTTTAGAGGCGGATACTTTGACATCATTGGTTCAGTTAGCCAGCCATTCTGATCCCAATATTTGTGACTATTCTCTGGAAGCACTGCTCAACATTTGCCACCAGCCACATGCTAGGCCACCACTTGGTGCTGCAGGAGCCATACAGTTCTTCATAGATCACATAAACAATACTAAAGACCTCAGCAGAGTGTATGGTGCTATTACTGCGCTGTGTTTATGCTGCAGGGACTCTGTTAATCGTGTCCGTTTGCGTGAAAGTGCTGGACTGAAGCTCCTTCTACAACTACTGTCTTCAGAAGATTATTCTCAATGTCACACTCAGATAATATGCTCCTTGACTTGTTTCTTGTACGATGAACTGAGTCTAGAGGTGCTCTTAAAAGAAGGAATGGTGAAAGGCTTGCTTGGACACCTCACCAAAAGCAATCATATTACACTGGAAGAAATTGAAAGTGACTCAGACAGTGACTCTGACTGTGCTCAATCATATAATGAACAAACAGATCAGAGCAAGATCCAGGATACCTCCAAGGATGGGCATAATAAAGGAGAAAGTCACAGTGGTCATGAAACAGTAGAGATGGAGAAAAATGAAAACAAAGGTCAACAAATTGGGGAAGTAAAGGACAGAAGGAAGTTTTTCAAAACTCAGACAGAGGTTTTGAATGTTCCCGCAGAAAATAGAACTGAACCTAATTCAGCAGATGACAGAGGGGAAGTGTCACAACATGTTGATGGTAGGAGCCAGTTGCAGCTTCCAGGGGTAAAGGGAGACAGTAGTTCAGTAACGTCTCCCTCAGAAGGGACCAACAGGAACACAAACATACCATTCCCAAGAGCACACTCCATGCCATCTCTCAGCAGTATGCCTGGCAATGAGCAGGGAGGGGTCGGTTCAGAAAGTTTTAGGTCCCTTTCTCCTCCCATTTCACACCATTCCTCTTTGTCTAGGCCTCATTCTCCAGCTCCTCCTTCACAGTTTGTATCCTGGGTAAGGTCCCCTTCTCCTCCAACCCCATACACTGCCTCTTCCATGAGTCCTATGTCATATCTGTCCCCAGAGTGGTCTCCAGAGTACACTGGTCCAAGTTGGGGAGGTTGGGAGCCCAGATACTCTCCACAGCATGCAGGTAGTTCTCCATACAGCATGCACAGCCCAGGCATGTACAGCCCAGGCCCATCCAGTCCAGACATGGAGGTGATGCCCCAGTGGTCACCTGTCCACAGCCCAGAAGAATGTTCCCCCCAGGGTCTAGAGACAGAGACCCCAGATGAGTCATTCCCAGCACTCTTTCCTGAACTTCAGTATGCACAATATTCCAACAATGAAGATGAAAGGAAAGAGTTGACTGATGATGTTGCCATGGAAACCAAAATGTTGACTGATCCTGTGCCTGACGTTGATAATTTGAAAGACATTGAAGACAGGGAAGTGGGTAAAAGCACCAATCTGTGTGAGGACCCCCCATCACCTCAAACACATAGTACCAGCATTAACTTAGCAGAATTATTGGCCTCACCTAAAGCTATTCACAGTGTAGAGGTTAACCCTGTAAAAACAATGGAAAACAATATCTTAATGCTGCTCTCCAGAGTGTCTCAGATGCCAGATCCAAGCCCATTTCTTTGCACACCTAACGCACTGATAGGCTTGTTTACATATGCTCTAACAGTCAAAAAACCTAACCCTCGTTGGTTCAGAATTTGCAGTCGGTTGACCAAAAATACCATTTGCTTTGAAGCATTTCTGCTCAATTCGGGTGCAGCATTAATACATGAGTACTTGGTCAAGCAAAAGTACAGACCCGTAGCTGAAGGGCCAACAATTCTAAATACCAAGAATACTGACACTGAAAGCAGTGTACAGGAAGGTGTTGATGAACCTTACCAGAAAAATGTGAAAGAAGTGGCGTCAGACGTGATTGCCGAAGAAGGCAGGGTTAAAGAATCTATTCAATCTGACATAAAGGAGAGAGAAGAGAAGAAAAGGAGAGACCTTCAGCTGGTGTGTTTTGGGAAGTCCCTGCACCATGACCTTACCCTACAAGCTGAGACCCCCTATGGACAGGGAGTGCTGTGCCACATCCTGCTGAAGAAACCAAACCAAGAGAAGATGAGGTGTGCAGTAGATCTGCCACATGTGTGCAGGTAGGATACAGATTTTTTTCTTCTTTAATGGGTAAGTCAGCCTGGGATGTACCCTGAGCTTCAGAGATAACTTGAAACAAACTTCTGCACTATTGCAGTCTGGGTTGTGACATGGGGGAAATCAAACTGTAACAAATTTCAGGTCTGTCACAAAAATTTTATTTATTTATTTTTATTATTTATTTATTTATTTTTTTTTTTGATTATGATAGTTTCTTATATAATCTTCACACAGTGTTTGTAAAAGTAAGGATAGACAGTGGTCCAAGGGATCTCTACAAGTATAATGCAACAAATCTTTTAATTTTGCTTTTGGTCTTTTTTTTTTTTTGTTTCCAGTAGCAAAAAACTGAGGACCAAGTTTATGTTAGACTACCGAGGTCTGAGTTACCTACTGGATGCTATACAGGCTCATTGTGATGACCACTCCCAGTATCCCATGGCTGTTGAAAGCCTGTGTGTGTTGGCCAGACATCTCATCATGGACTGTCCCAGGTTCAGTAGCAATTCAGAACTTGATGTTATTCAAAACCCAGAGTGCATATACAGCAGCACTTTGAACCAGCATAACATGAGGTTTATGATGACTGCAGACCAGACTGTCATATCTGCTGAGAGGAGCAAAGTTTCTGGAGCATCAGAGACATTCACTGCCATGTTAGAAGGACATTATTCTGAGTCTGGACAAGATGAAATTTACATTTCAGAAGCTTCTGGATCTGCTTTTTGCTATTTGCTGCATTTTCTCCATGGTTGTCGCAGCGGCTGTGACGTGATTGCAGGAAATGGTGCTGCAGGAGACACATCTTTGGACGTGGATTTAGAAACACTGTCTTTGTCTGATAGATACATACTGCCTGCTCTACAGAGGCACATCTCTACTGTTATTGCTCAAAAACACTGGAATGCCTCCCATATTGTGCACATTTACAGATATGCTTCCATGCATAATTGTGAGAACTTATCCAGGGACTGTTTAAAGTTTATGCTTGTTGGAAAATTAAAATGGAGTGAACGTTCATCAGTGTTGCTGGAGATTTTCTCTGGACCAAACCGAGACCAAGTCCGGAAAGAGATTGGACATCTTTTGGTTGAACTTCTGTGAATCTCTGTGAAAAAGAAAACCGTGAACTCTGTAACTATCTTATACAATACATAGTTTTCTATCAGTCTTCTCTAATCTAATGATTTTCACCCCCCCTCCAAAAAACAAAACAAAACACACACATGCACGCATGCATGCATGTACACACACACACACACACATATAGAGAAAAGTTTGGAAATATTGNTGGGGGGGGGGGGGATCAAACTGTAACAAATTTCAGGTCTGTCACAAAAATTTTAAATTCTTAGATTATGATACTAGTTTCTTATATAATCTTCACACAGTGTCTGTAAAAGTAAGGATAGACAATGATCCAAGGGATTGTTACAAGTGTAATGCAACATATCTTTTAATTTTGCTATTGGCCTTTTTTTTGTTTCCAGTAGCAAAAAGCTGAGGACCAAGTTTATGTTAGACTACCGAGGTCTGAGTTACCTACTGGATGCTATACAGGCTCATTGTGATGACCACTCCCAGTATCCCATGGCTGTTGAAAGCCTGTGTGTGTTGGCCAGACAGCTCATCATGGACTGCCCCAGGTTCAGTAGCAATTCAGAACTTGATGTTATTCAAAGCCCAGAGTGCATATACAGCAGCACTTTGAACCAGCATAACATGAGGTTTATGATGACTGCAGACCAGACTGTCATATCTGCTGAAAGGAGCAAAGTTTCTGGAGCATCAGAGACATTCACTGCCATGTTAGAAGGACATTATTCTGAGTCTGGACAAGATGAAATTTACATTTCAGAAGCTTCTGGATCTGCTTTTTGTTATTTGCTGCATTTTCTCCATGGTTGTCGCAGCGGCTGTGACGTGATTGCAGGAAATGGTGCTGCAGGAGACACATCTGTGGACGTGGATTTAGAAACACTGTCTTTGTCTGATAGATACATACTGCCTGCTCTACAGAGGCACATCTCTACTGTTATTGCTCAAAAACACTGGAATGCCTCCCATATTGTGCACATTTACAGATATGCTTCCATGCATAATTGTGAGAACTTATCCAGGGACTGTTTAAAGTTTATGCTTGTTGGAAAATTAAAATGGAGTGAACGTTCATCAGTGTTGCTGGAGATTTTCTCTGGACCAAACCGAGACCAAGTCCGGAAAGAGATTGGACATCTTTTGGTTGAACTTCTGTGAATCTCTGTGAAAAAGAAAACAGTGAACTCTGTAACTATCTTATACAATACATAGTTTTCTATCAGTCTTCTCTAATCTAATGATTTTCACCCCCCCTCCAAAAAAACAAAACAAAACACACACATGCACGCATGCATGCATGTACACACACACACACACACATATAGAGAAAAGTTTGGAAATATTGTTATTATGAATAATTATAAAATAATGATTTGAGCTAAGGTAATTATTTAAACCAAATATTGATGGATAATGCCTAGACAAGATTGAAATCCAAGTCACAGAAAATTTTAATTTATGAATAGATGAATCACATCCCAAATAAAGCCATTTTAGCTATAGAATCTATGTTTAAGAACATACTTTATTTACTATCTTTCATATGGAGAGTTCAAGAAATTTCTATGTTGATTTTCCTTACATATTAGGGGTTCTTTTTCATTTTAGTTTATTTTCACTTTTACATGTACCTAAGAATTCACATTTGTTACTTGACACAATTATAAGTTTTGGCACTGGAAATCAATTGGCTAGGTAGATGTATCATGTTATCACCAAAGAGATGAGAATTCTATACCTCTTGTATGATAACTGGGGTGTAGCAGTTTAGGGAAAACACTTGTGATCTGAAGTCAACCCAGGTCAGAAATCCAAATTTCAGGGGGTAGGATATGCCAGATTTGATTTTTAACATATAAGATGTAATACAGTAGCATTTTAGCATCAATGAAAAAAAACTGACAATTATAAATTTCATGCATAGATCCATTTACCTCCCCCTCCCCCCACAACAACAATGCCATTCTTAAAGGCTACTTTTTAATAGAAATCGCATGCATGTGATCTTATTTCTATGATCACAAGTGTAAAGGCTTCGTATTGATTAAGCTATGCTGTCATTCGTATGTACTTCAGTTGGTCACGTGACGTTTGTTTACAAACACGATCTCGTGTGAGGCCGTACATTATAGGTCTTGCGTTATTCTTTTCATAAAGGAGGTCAGACAGATTTAAACAACTCTACAAGCTTCCAGTCTTCAAGATATGTAAGTTTGCAATAAGTGTGTGAAAGTTCTGCTGTGATCATAGCTAATTTCATTCATTATTTACTAATTTTCTCGGGTACTGCGTGGTACTACTAAACTGCTGAAAGACAAGTAGGTCACCCATTCATTCAGTCTAGGTCGCAATGTACTGATTTTTAAAAGGCGTAGTTGTCGTGTGGGATACCGTCTAATGAGATAACAAGTTTATCAAATTGATTGCGTTCAAAAATGATAAAACTTTATTTCATATCGTTTAAACAACCACATTCCGTAACATAATTACTGTTGGGATAACTTACGTCATTAGACGTCTAAGGCCTACGTGCTAGACTGGAAAGGGGAATCCCCGTACATTGGAAAATTTTACGCTGGATGTTTTTAGCTCTTAATGACGATTTATGTAAATTGCTAGTAGGTGGCACACAATGGCAGTAGTCCAGAGGCACCAAATAGCATTCGTAAATGGTTTTAAATAATAATCATAATAATGCTCAGAACGACATGTCGACTGGACTTTGACCGACGTAACTCGAGTTCAATGACAAAACCGATGTATCATTGTCGACATTGTCTGAATGTAACGAGAAACTGATACGCCGTGAAGGGAGTGGTTTATTGGTGAAGTCATGAGTGGAGTCACGAGTGTTTACATTATCAAAGAAGCTTAACTGGAGTCTTTCCGACCAATTTTCCTCGAAGAAAACAATGTTGAAGCAATGCCAGATTAAAAGGAAAATCCCCTTTTGTGAGAAAAATTTTATAATGTGAAGCATTAAATGTAAGATAATGATCAGAACGATTTGTTTGTAGGTGGCAAATTAAATCAGTTGCACAATGGCAGCACAAATAATAATATGATGATGATCAAAAGAACGTTGACGTCACGACTGGAATTTGACCGTATCCGCCAGTGACAAAAATCGATGTATCATTATTTTGGTGTAATACGAAACTGATTATCTATAGCTATGTGAAATCATTAGCGTAATGGGTATCCTATCTAAGTTTCGCGTCAATTTCTCATGAACCATTGTTGACCCATGTCAACACTTGGGTTTGCCGTTTTATACCATTTCTTATTAAATAATTAGAGAGTTGTGATCTGCTACGTTTGACCACTGTGAATGAATGGATGATTTTTAATGAAAAATACACGAGCTTTTGTATGTTCACGCCCGGGCAATGTCCAACCCAATTTAGAATCTCATTGTTTCTAGGAATTTCTCAAAAGTTGACATTGTTACGTTCAGGATGTCCAACGTTTTCTAAATTTACAATATAATTAACGTACATGTGCACACTTCAGATATTTTAGCACTGCACCTTGTAAATCTAACGTAGTATATTTTGCTGTATTATTGGTTGCTACATCAGAGATTATGAGTTTATCAGCTGGACACGGCAACACGGACTGATTAATGACATTAATTAGTATCCGGTAAAATAATTCATGCACACGTGGGGTATCGTAGATATCAGGTTATGATTTTGAAAAGGTACCTAGCAGGTATAAAAGTAGTGAGCTTAACTGCTATCTTTTGCTTTTGATTCATGTTAAGCTATGCACACAACACAAAAGCAAGTTAAATGAATTATAAGAACTGACTTGTTTGATAAACATACCGCATGCTCATTATGTAAATAAAACTATTATGATACTGGTTTTTTATGGCATAGCTTTTTTGTCAAAGAAATTAATCGCATTTGCCTATGGCAAAAATTGAAAATTTAGCTGTTTCTTTCCGTTATCATAAGTGAAAAATGTGTATATATTCTGTCAGCCAACGCTCACGTGAAATAGTTGGGTGCGCAACTGGACTTTGACCGTCGCATAAACGTCTGTGACAAAAACGATGAAACACTGTCTGGATAACAAAAGACTGATCATTAAGGCGCTGCAAATACACTCCTCTTATTTTGAAAATAGGTGAAGTCATGATTGAAACCTTATGTGCTAAGCTGACATCATCTTGAATATTTAATGCTGTTTTTACTTATTCTTTCTTTCTTTTCTAGGCCTACGTGCCAAACTAGAAAGGGGAATCCCCTTGGGAAACTACGCTATGATATTTAGCTCTAGAAAACGATAAATATGAATTGTCAGTAGGTGGTACACAAAGGCAGTCGTCCAAGGCATTAGCATTCATGAGTGGTATTTAATTATAATAATAAATAAAGAATAACAATAAAGAACGACGTCTCTACAGAACGTTGACCGTCGCAACTTGAATTCAGTGACGAAACCGATGTATCGAATGCTATGAGAAACTGATCCGCCGTGCAGGGAGTGGTTTTTTACAAATATAATGCACTTCCTTGTTTGGCGATTAGGTGTAGTCATGAGTGGAGTCACTAGTGTTTATATTAAAGGTATCTTAACCGGAATCTTTCTGACCAATTTTCCTCGAAGAAAGCAATATTGAAGCAGTGCCAGACTAGAAAGTAAAATATCCTTATATGAGAAAACTTTACTTTGCTTACTCTCTCTGATTATTAAAAAAAAGATGTGCTAACTTGAATGCCAGAAAGGATTCAATAGCCATTCATGAGTATGGGGAAATTGTCGTTTACCCTTGGAAAATCCATGTTGGACCTGAATAAACGTACAGTTGTTATCCTTTTAAACTTAACGGTATCCGAAAATTAAATTTGGTGTAGACTCATTTTTGTAATGTTGATGTGAGCGATATTGTTTGTTGTATTTTCCATGCACTTACGCTAATTTACATTTTGACCAGAAATCTTCATGAGAACAAGACAGAAGAAACTTGAAATTGGCTTTATTTCACGGCGACACAGTGACTAAGCTTTAAAACAAAGTAGGATTTTCATGCGAATCTTGTGGATACTAGCTTCTTCTTGCATGTTTTTCACGTGCTTTACGGGAATTCCCGCCTGCATCTGAAGAACGCTTACTCGGTTCGGGTGTGTGGGCCACTTACCAGATGTTCGGTTAACTTTATAAATTTTCGTCTTGACTGTATCGATTAACCAAGAGTATTTTTCAGATGAATTCAGAATAAACAAATGTCTATGTATGATTTTAGCCTGAGATTACAGAATAAAGATCTCTGTATTAAGACCTAATATTAGCACCGTGCCTTACCGCACCGCCCAATACACTCCCCCTTTTCACACAATGTTTTGTCCAAACGCCAAAAACCCAAAACTCGCAAAAATTTTGTCCAAAATTAGTTGAATATTATTGATTGATGAAAAAGAGAGCTGCTTTGCTGGAGGCCAGTGCTCTCTGCATGCGTTTTATGTTATTTTATAGAGACTATCAGAGAAACACCTACCAGTGCTTTTCCTCTTAATTCATTTTGAATTAGCATTTCAGATACCTAACACCTGTAATATACAGATAGAAATTAATCACAGAGTTGAAAAATGAAAAACAAAGGAGTTCTATTATTTCTTTTTGCAATAAGTAGTATCAAGGATATTGAAAATAGGGGGGAAACCCCGCCATTATTTCTCCCACTCAACCCCTCGAGCCTAGTATACAGAAACATGCTATGAGTTCTGCATTCGAAGAAAAAAATTCTCGTGCATTTTTTATGTACAGACACAGATGTGTCTGTACATATTGCCATCACCTGCGTCTATCGTCGCCGTCGTCGCCGTCGCCGATGCCGGCGCCGTGCACTTTCAGTGTTAACACGATAAGTGGAAGACAGTTTTACTTTTTCGCTTTATATTTACAGAGCTGATGAATATTCATAAAATGCAGGTCAAGTTCGAAAATCAGCGTGATCTGGCCATTATTGTAGAAGTTATGCTGTTTTTTCACTTTTTAGCATATATATAACACTGTAAACACATTTCAAGAAAAACCGAGAGGGCTGTTGTCATGAAACTCACAGGAGTGGTCAATCTTACTAAAATGCAGGTTGAGTTTTAAAATTAGCATAATCAGGTCATTGTTTTAGAAGTTATGCTGTTTTTTCACATTTCCTCAAATTCAATTCTTAGGCATGTTAACAGTCTTATTATTTAACCAATAAGATACATAAAAGAGTTTGTTTGACATTTCCTGCATCTTTACAACATTGTTAGTTGATTATGTAAAAATGACGGTAAACTTATTATCGTATATTGTGTAATAAAGTGTCAAAAATGGAAATAAACTTATATCATTGCAGTTTGTCAGATTCAATCATTCACTATGTTCAGAATCTCAGAATGGAAGAAATTGGACATTTAACACTATTCTATTGATATTTTTCCCATCTCAGCAATTTTTTTAGTTGATCATATAAAAATGTCAGTAACCTGTTAATTTTGTTTTATGTTTAAAAAATTGTTAAAAATGGAAATAAACCCATGTCAGAACAGTGTTGTCTTGTTTTTTTATTTTTTTTACTTTTCAGCATATATGCAACACTGTAAACAAAATATAAGAACAACACATAGGCCAATTGTCATTAAACTCACAGGAGTGGTCAATCCTGCTAAAACGCCAATTTGTCACACTTTGAAAAAAAAAACCTATTTTGGGCACTGCTCCCATGATGACCATTTAAAAAAAACCATGTCACTTACTGTTCTCAAACTTACAGGAAAGAAACATGGGACTAAAATACAGCTTCAGTAGGCAGTGCAATCTGTTTGGTAATTCTTTCTGCCAGTTAAACAGTTTTTTTGTGAAAATTTAATTTTTCACAAATTGGCATTTTCAAGGTGTGACTTTGAAGTTCCACAGGCTTGAAGACCCATGCTAGTCACATTTTCTGAAAATCCATGATGCGTATATTTTATTATTAAAAATTGATTGTCATTATGCTGTTAACCATTATGTAATATTGCATCAGAATAGAAGAAAACACAATTTTGGGTGCTGCTGCCATGATGACCATTATGGGAAAACCATGTAGCTTATGATTGCCAAACTTTCAAAAAAGAAATACAGGACTAAAATGCAGCCTGAGTTGGAAAAGCAGTCTAATTGGCTTCTTTTTCTGGAAGTTATACATTTTCAAAGTGTGAACTTGAACTCCCATGGGCCTGAAGCCTTATGCTTGTTACAAATTTTACTTACATTTGTATTACCTGTTGAGCATAATTTAAATTTGATGTTGAATTTGCAGTTTAACATAATGTACTTTTGCATCAGAATTGACAGTAGCCTATTTTGTGCATAGTTATTTCTGCTTTTTGTTTGTACATTTGACAGCTTTGCTGCCTTGTTTTCTTTTGGTGCCTAGTTGTTCATGAAGTAGTTCGCTAAACGACCGTCGATCTCCCCCTCTCCCCGCCCCATTATTCGGACGCATAGTGACATTCCATAATGTAAATATCCGTCATTGCCATTTAGAAGGGAATGGAGAGCACCTTTATCTTAGCAATATCAAATATAAAAAAAACTTATTTTTACTTGTTGATATATTGCGATTCATTAAACAATTTCATCCCTGTGTCGCTTAAAAAGGCAAGAGAGCACCTATTAAAACCTTTCATATCTAGGTATTTGTTGTCACGAGTCACGTGACTGTGTTTACAAACAGAGACACGTGGGTTAGTACGTTGTAGGATACGCAGGCCTTATAGAATTCTTGCTATAAAGGATATCAAACAGATTTAAACATCTCTACAGGTTACCAGTCTTCGAAATATGTAAGTGAACAATGTTTGTGCAAAAATTCTGCTTCGATCACACATAATTTCATTCATTTATTACTATTTTCATTGGTACTACTAGTAGAGTCTATGTAGCTGCAGTGAATGACAAATGCAAGGTCATTCATTCGTTCAGGTTAGGTGGCTTAATACTGATTTAACTGAGAGGCGTATTAATCGTCTATTACAATTTATCAGTTCATGAAGCAACATTTGGAATTGCAAGTTCTGCTTTTAGTCCCATAATGCATATTTGTTTAACTTTTTGGGCAAATTAATGTAAGGTCTTTATGTTGGCACTTCGCCAGTATGAAATGGTACATGTATGAAAAAGGGATCCCCTACGTATGGGATTTTTGTATAAAGTAATAATAATTCAAGAGGTTGTCAGTGGGTCGAATTTAGAGGAAGTCATCCTATTATATAAAGGATGCCAGTTAACCAAATATTTTCATGACAATAAAATAGTAATACTATCATAAGAACGCCGACGTTATTCTTGATCACAATGCTACATGTATAAGAAACTGATATATATATATGTACCTTGGGTGTAGAATAAGTCAGATGAAAATTTCATAGAAGTTTATCATGGTGACTCATTGACTTACATAAAAAAGGCTTTCCATCCAAATCATGTGTACACTACATGCTGGCTGGTTCTTGCATGTTGTTCACGTGCTTTAGGGGAATCCCCGCCTGTGGAGGCAAGATTGCCCTTGATGAGGCTCAATCGTTCATCCCAATCCCAATGGCACTTTTCAAATAACTTCAAAACTAACTTTTTTATACATGGTTTTAGCATTGACTTATATGGACCCTTTGTATTAAATCCTGATATTAAAATATTTACAATGCCCCCCCCCCCAACACACCTCCCTATTCCATACAATTCTGCCCAAATGGTCAATGTCAAAATCAGTTATTGATCTCTAAGCGGCTTTGTAGGTGTTTTTATGTTATTTCATAGAACTATTAGAGGGGCATTTGGGCTTATCCTTTTAAATTATTTAATTAATACTTCAGATTCCAAACGCTGTAAGTTACAGGCGGAACTTAAGCATAGAACTGCGAAAATGATGAATAAAGGACCAATGGAACTTCTTCTTGCAGTAAGTATTCATGAGCAGTGGTGGATACAGGATACTGAAAAGAAGGGAGAAGGGTGGGTGGGAGGTTACCCGCCTTTATTTTCCGTAATCAACCCCTCTATTATGCTTCAACGTGATATGAGATCTGCATCCTATAATAAAAGTTTTCCCGTCTATTTTTTGATTCTCCCCTCTCCCCATTTGGGCGTACTAGTAGTGACAGCCCGTGTTGTTGAGCTTCAGTAAAGCCGAACACTACATGTACGTCTATGCATGGAAGTATAACTGGGAGTTATACCTCCATGGAGTATGTGAGTGAAGAACACCTTAATCCCAGCAATATCATATCTTCAATAAAATCTGAGCTTAATTTTACTTACTGATTATGAAATATTTATTGCAATTCAGTAGACTTCAACAACATAATCCCTCTGTAGCCTGTGTCACTTTTAAAATAAAAAAGTCAGATAGCAGCCACGGGTATTGATCAATAAAACCTTTTATATTAATTAATTCTAGGTATTCGTTGTCACAAGTTTCGGTTATGTTGTCACGGTTTACGCAGACAGTTGTAACAGTCCTTATAAAGGAGAATGCCGCGCTGAGGATAACTTGGAAGAGTTCCAGCCTGGTTGTTGTCGCCCATGCCCCTCATGCATGAAGGGAAGAGGAAAACCTGTGAATGTGACAGCGGTGCGTCTTTTATATTAGAGTATTCACATCTTAACAAATGTATCACAGCTTACAGAGTTCATGTTTCTCTCTCTCCGTCTTGCACACATGATCCACACATACATGCAATCGAAGATACATATATACCTGCATATTAATTAATTAATTAATTAATTAATTAATTAATAATTTATTGCAATTACTTATTTCACAGGCGGAAAGATGTAAAAGAAGTTGTGTTAATTAATTAATTGATTATAATTAATGAAGTAATACATTACTTATTTCACAGGCGGAAAGATGTAAAAGAAGTTGTGTGAACTGTATTCGAGGGGAGACGTACAACGATAAATCACGTAGTCACCCAAACCCAATATAGAGGTGCAAACGATGTCACAGACATGTTCCTAAAAATATGTAGTGCACAGATTACAAACTATGTTTGATTATTTTAGGGTCCCACATAAAGAAGTTTGTATAAAAGTTTCACTTTCCTGGAACCACGAATGATAAAAAATAATTCATCATCTAACCCCAAAAAGGAACATACGTTACTGTCACAAATGCATAACGTCTAGCTGTTGAAGCGTTTTAATCACTTTGAAAATTCAATCATCACGGGTTTTGTTCTTTTATTTATCTCCTACAAGTATAACGTTGTAAAAAATTACAAAAAGCTTCAGTATAGAGCATTTAATTGTTTTTTAGCGACTTAAGTTTGCCTGTCACTGAATATTAAAAAAACGGGGAAAATACACCCTACCGACAGTAAAATAAGCATTTAATAAATTATTTTTCCCCTCGTGCTCCAAATATTGTATCTGAAATGTCAAACTATCATGGAATCACGATATATTTCTCTGTNCTACGACTGCAAACCCTGCCAGACGTGCGATCCCAATCGTGAGATAATCGCAAATTGCACTCGGTTCAGCAACACCAAGTGTGGGCAGTGTAAACCAGGCTTCTACAGTATTCCTGGCCACCCTGCGTGTTTCCCGTGTGTTAGGAGCCGGCACGTGTTTAAGCCTGATGAGTGTAGAGATTTTTTCGAGCGTCAGGACAGGATCATGGCTATAACTACGATGCGTATTACTACTGCTGAACGCGTGAATGTTTGGGGCATAACTCCTGCCACAATAACTTCCGTAACATCCCCAACGGTTATGATCCAAGCACTAGGCCTACATGGAGATCAGATTTTTGAAAGTAAGTCAGTGAGCAAATGATGCAAATGATGAAACCATAAAAATGTATCGATAGGCCTAGTTAAATCCATGTCTTCCCTTCGAAAAATGACAAGTTTTCAGCAAAAAAAGTAGTTTGCAGGAGTTTGCAAGAACATTTTGTATTGCTGCTTATTTGCAAATAAGAAATAAATAAATAAATAAATGCAATAACATAAAATTCCTTTTGCAATGTGCAGCAAATTTGCGAGAAGTTTGCGGCAGACCTGATAACCTAAGGGTTAGTAAGTTAGGGATATCCATTTGGATTGTTGCAACGCATTTTACAGATGCGAGTATTTTACTTATTGCTCACTTTTACCGTCAATAGGCCAAAGACTGATAGTCACTGCAGTCACAGTCGTTATCGTCCTCTTGGTTCTTGGTTGCATCTTTGCTATTGTGAAAATGGTCAGAAAATGCTGTCACGAAAATACAGAAAATATACGACGTGGAGGGGAAGAAATTACAGGTAACTTAATCCTATTATTGTGGGACAGGTACCAAAACCATCACATGCGCGCACGCTCGCACACACACACTCACTCATTCGAATTATACATATACCATTGAACGTTTGGGCTGGCAGGAGGATTATTTTGTGTGTGGTATTTTAGACCGAGAACACTTGTCGATTATGGTAATTTCTTTATTCGTCGTGTGTATCATTCCTTGAACAAGTTTGCACTTTCCATATTCTACTGAATATATATACTTTTTAGTTGATAGAAGTGAATACGCCGTCGTCTACGAAAGGGTGTCTCAGACAGACGTTAACCAAGTGGGTGAGAGTGCAGACAGTGGTCTTGGTGGCGGCAGCCTGTCATCCTCGGCTGCAGCTGACGTCAACGGAAACACCAGTCCCAAAGACTCGGGAGACTCTGAATACAGCTGTCCTACACAACAAGATGGCCGACAAAAGGAGCATCCTACACAACAAGATAGCCGACAAAAGGAGCATGATGATAAAGTAAGTGACAGCACATACCGCAAAGAACCAGAGGAACTGGCAAGTTCTTCTGATTGGGTATGCGCCAAGATGGAGGAAATGCATGAAATGCCGTGCTATGTCAGTGGGAGGAAGTCGGTGAAAATCAATGCCGATCCTTGGGATTCCAAAGATTTCAGCGCTAGCCAAGGCTCTGGAAATGGCGAGATTCGCACCCCTGTACAAGAGACTGAAGAAACATCTGCGAACAAGCAACAAATCCACGTGCAAGAAGACGGGAAATCTCCCGACGACCGCCACCCAACTCAAAATATGGAATCGCATACATGATGTAAAGCCGGGTGGCTTGCTACCCTTTGTATATCAGCTTGCTTGCAAAAGGGGGTCAGATGTATGAAGAGTATTGCATGTTACCAAAGCTTATTCTAATTCACCGTAAGTCGCAATATGTGGCATCGTTACCGCAGGTACATGTGTCTTTAAAATATAGGCACAAGTTCCTGTATGGGTAATTTCTCAAATTGTTAATATTTGAGTCAAAGCAGTGACGCACACATTTTATTTTGACTTGTCTCATTATTTCTGTTTTTTTTTTTTTTTTTTTTTTTTTTTACTATAAAAGCATCCAATATTGAATACAATCATTAGTGATTTTAACTGAAAAAGGGATATGAAGCAATTATGCAAATATCCGAAATATTTCAGTAATGTGTGCATCATTAACGCGACTGAAATGTCAAACCCGGAGGCAACGGGGTTCAGGGGTGCGAGCACACCGCCCTTTTAGCCGGAAAAAGTCCTTTTTGAATCAAAATTTGATCTATTTGTTGAGTCTATGTAATTTCTCAGGTTGGGTCAAATAAGGTGGAAAAAGGTACAATTTTACAGAAAAAGAACCATTATTTGAAACTGCTGGCTACAGGCCTAATCTGAAAGCCGACTGATGGTCTACCGTCCAGGGTTTAATGTGTGACATTCCACAGGAGGTCCCTGTGCAGGAGTCTACTGGCGGATACAGGACACTAAGAAAGGGAACAGCATACAAAATGTCTTTAAGTGATCAGCTATTTTTTTAAACCTTTGGTCACATTTGTCTGATTTTTGCGTGTGCGTATAGAATCATGTTAGGTGATTATTGAATAATCTAATTGTTGTTTTATATTTAGATGTATTTTTAGGATATGACTGTAAATTTGAATTGATTGTTTTAGATGAATATTGTTGAAAATGTTATTATTGGCCTGTGTGATGTAATTAAATTTCATTAGTCATTGTGAATTGTGAATTACATCCAGCATTGTGCATATTTCCATACTTAAATGTATTTAGAGAGCGTTAGTTTGGCATTGTTACACGTTTCAAATTTACCAACTTCACCAAATTCTCCAATTGAGGGTTTTGTTTGATAGAGTATGTATGGGAAGCTCTTAAGAGATAGCTTAAGTTAACTTTAGGCAAAGAATTAGATATCTATGTATCTAATTCCTTGCTTTATGTAATTAACTTAGTTCTCTTCCAGACATTTGTCAAAGAAGACAACTTTGTGCTTGTGTACATCCTGTGTAAAAGTAAAGGAAATATTACAAAAAAAAACTCTTTGACAGAACCCTCTTTGGACAAAAAAAGGCCCCAGACACAGCTACAAGCACTTGTGCTGTCCCATTTACAGCCAAAAATAAAGTACTGAGCTATAGAAACTACATACACTCAACCAAGAAAGTTCAGAAACGTGAAGTTGTTTTTCAACAATTAAAAACTCTGTAATGTAGTGGGGAAATCTTCAGTGTAATTTTAAAGTAACGTTTGGTGGGGGCATTATCCATCAATATACCTGATAAACATTTAACTTAGCTTACATGCTTATTCTATAATTATTCAAAATAACGTTTTTGGTTGAGTGTGGATTACTTAACTTATATATCTTATTCAAGAAAAAACTTACAAACAACTAGGAAAGACTAGAAAGGATTTTATCATAATGGGATCTCTTTTTAACAAGGCTATTAGATATTCTTAGATTGGTTGTGTAAAAGACAAAGGTTGTGATTGCAGGGGGGGGGTTGTCTAAACTTACATTTTATGATTCTATTCTACAGATGAAGTATATATATATATATATATATATATATATATATATATATATATATATATATATACTTCATCTGTAAATATATATATATATATAGTGAAATTATTTTATTTTTCATTCTATTATGCAGATGTACAGGAACTTTTATTTTTTATTGTACATAATCTACAGATGAAGTGCTTATAAATATATTATACAGTGAATAAAATTATTTTATTATGTACATGTATAGCATTCAGAAAGTGGTTGTGGTTGCAGATGCATTTTGTTGACTGATTAATTTAAACTGTAACACCAAGAACTAGAGACAGTGTCCAACATTGTATTGGCATTAAGAGAAATGGAGAGACATAGAGTGTATATGAACATTCATTAGTGTTAATTGGCCTGAACAGTGCTAAACCCTTGACGTGGAACCAAGTAAAAAATATTGAAATTGAACAATTTCTTACATTTTTTTATTTCCCCACAGTTATTTCACTTGAAGGTTCATCCAGGGCACACAATATTAACATGAATTGCCTGGGGTCTTGAATCTGTAAAAGATATTATATGAATAAAGAAATGTTACTGATTATAAAATAGCATTGACTTCTGTGACAAAGGTCAGGTGATTTTTTGTGTGCATGCCCACCATACTCCATTCTCCATATGGTAATTTCACCATTATGAACTGTGGAAGCTGGGAGACTAAGGGACCATTTAGATTGAGAAGAGCCGAGTGCTAGTAAGGCTGAGACCTATATATGGCGGACCTACATGAAAGGAAGACCGCTAATCCTGTAATGGTCTGTCCACCTCTCACACGCCTCCCCACGTGTCGTCCCTGCAGGGGCACAGTAATTAAATCTCAGCTCAATTCAACCGGTCGAGGGACAATGCGTGGGGAGGCGTGCGAGAAGCAGAGACCATTACAGGATTAGCAGTGTTCCTTTCATGTAGGAATCTCAGCTCGTCTCGATGTGAATGCTCCCTAAATGACTGTCCACTTCTTAAAGCCAAATGTATACCTAAATAAGTCATTGAATAATTACATCAAACTAAACAAAGAAAAAAATTCACAAAATGATTACAGTACTTCCCTTTTACCTGAAATATGCTTTCTGCACACCTGTTTTAGTATGATTAATGCCACTATAAATATATCGACTGTATAATATAAAGAAACCTGTCTTAGAAATTCTTTATTACACAGATATTGCAACATTGTAAAATCAAATACAATAAATTAGCACCACTTCACTGTCTAGACAATAAACGGATCCAATACCTTCAACCTTAGACTAGAGTACAGACCAATATGCTGGAAAAGATTTGGCTCAACATAATATGGTCTTACTTCGGATTTACGCATAAAGTCATCCAAAGCTGTATCCATTGCATATTTATTTTTGCACTCCACCTTACTAAGGAAATTGACAATTTCATGGCCCCCTTTCTGAGGGAATAACATTGCAGGTGTGCAGCAAGTAGGAGCAGGGACTATGTTGTAAAAGTGGTGTGATAGCCTTCTTAGTTCCAACACATTGACCCTTCCAATAGCAATCATACACAGCATAAAATACACGCTAAATATTAGCCACAAACTATGAGTATTTTTACCAACAATGTGCAGTTTAACCACTTGACAAATCCAAACAGTAACAGCACCGAGGATAAAACCCATAATGAGGAGTTCTGGGATGCGATTGGGTTCTGGGTTAAAATAGCCTAGTAACCTCTCAGGGTGATAAAATTTAACATAAGCTATCTTGTCCTTGTTGAATGATACGCTGTGAGATTTATTATCCATTAATCGGTTCACAATGTCTGGGAAAACTCTACTAAAATCAGGGTGGGGTAGCGCATCATCCTCAATAACAAAAGCAAACTCTGGATGTAAGTTTAAAGTTTTGTTCAGGCAATAGACATAATCACGCTTTTCCTTTTCAAAAAGGTTCCCTGCCGTAGAACGCTTTTTAACATATGGCTGAAAAACTGTGACATATTTGGATAGATTTTGTGCCTCTTCATATTTGAGAGGGTTGGAATCCACATTGCAGACAGACAGCTCCCAGTGTTGTCCAATCTCTTTCATTTCCTTAACTATCTTCATGAAGTGATGCAGACATTGTGTTAAATAGTGAGGTTGGTATTTTTTCGATTTCCTTTTAACAGTGATTATTGTTACTGCGATGTGTGGTCTTGTGATATCGGTATGTTTAGAGTTCTGAGGATTGGTTTCTCCTGTTACTTGCTCTTTGAAATGATATTCTGCTGCTGCCAGCCTCTGAAGATCCAGGTTCTTGAGACGTTCTACTTCTGCTGTGCTTGAGCCTTTGGAAAAGTAAAGTGAGTGCGGCAACTTCCAACACAATAATGGTAAAACAAACAGAAATGTCGCACTGTAAAGCACCAGAAAGCCTGGGAGAAATTTGGGCATTCTCATGTTCTTCTGAACATCAGCATAATGCCTGCATCAGTTTTTAAGCTGAAAGAAAAATTACACGTTTACCAGTACTATTAAAAAACATTTTTAACTTTCAGTGGGAAAGACAATTGCTTCTTAAAAGACTAAAATCTTCTGGTAAAAGACAGATACATTGTAGTAATTCTACTGAAATATAAAATAAAATAATTTTTTAAATATTTGTCTGCTACATCTAGTTCTAGCACTTACAATGGACGACTATTCATTTTCATCTCGCCCACCGATCCAATGAGTGCAGGCCGACATGTTTCCGTTTTAGATCTCACTGTTAACGAGAGTTTTTTCGAGAGGTCACTTTGACCCCGCCATATTTGTCTCAATGTTTTGACATTCGTGTTCCCTGATTCCAGATAATGTGGAGAATTCCAGATGCAGGAATGATAGAGGCAGCTTCATGTCAAAACAAATCAAAACGATGCTCTTCGACCAATTAAGACCTCGACCTAAACTGCAGGTGATTGTTTTACATGGCAACGGCACCAAAGTGCTGCATGTACAATACAATAAATACAAATATTGTACATGTACAGTATGTGTCGCATCACTACTAGTACATGTACTACTAGGTACGTTTGTTCGCCACTCCACTCTTCAGCCTGTCGATGTCACTCTTAATGAAAGTCAAAGTGACGTTTTTATACATTACTATATACTTGAGGGTTTGATAAAACGGTGAATTCTGTATACATTGTACTGGTACATTCACAGCATCACAACATGAAAAATACACAAGATTAAAGTACTTAATAAGTGCTGGTGATAGAAAACTTTCTTTACTTTCATATTCTGTGCACAGTTTTTCCTTTTAAAAGACATCTATGTCTTCTGAGGGCGTCCAGGGGGCACCTGTTCCACAGGAGGGTTCCCATGGAGGAACACCAGCTTCCAGGCTCACACAGAGGGTAAGATAGGCAGCACTCAGAAGCAATTCACTATCTAGTGTCAAATGTTAATATTCAGTCCCATAGCTGATAAATGTGCTTCATTTCTGCTATTAATATAGTGTGACTGTCTGTGACATGTGATGTCTGTGGTCTAAATCTAAATTGAATCTCAGTAGTTATATTGTCTTAGACATTTTGGTCATTTGAAACTTGATGCTTATTCTTCATTATGTATCTGTGTAGCAGCCAAGGGTCCAAAAGGTCAAATAATTAGTGTAAGTTTTAACTTTTGTGTTGGTTTACATTTATTCTTTTAGAGTGTTCCTGCAAGTAGGGCAGCAAATATGAATACTGCTTCCAGAAGAGGAGGATCTGCCAAATCACAGGTGAGAAAGAAAAATATGTTCACCAGAAGAAAATATATTTTATAATATATTAAATATATATTTATGTGGAAAATGAATCTCCTTTGTGGTCCACTATTTCATAAAATATCTTTGAAGTATCTCTACCTATGTCAAAGATTAAAAATGTTGTAAAAATTGTTTGGTAAACCATTATATTAATGTCATTGGGCTGGCTTCCCTATATCTTTTTAGGACACTTTGGCCACTGGGTTATTTGTACGAGAAAGCTTTGGACCAGCAGCTGACTTTGCAATACAAAACCACTTGGAATATCTCCAAGATTATCTTCAGAAAACAAAGCTAGAAGAGAAATTCTCCAGTCTTTGTCACTTGTTGTTCAGTTCCCCTGCCCTTCCCTACAACCCATATCCAGGGTTTTTGAGAAGACTGTCACCAGAAAGTGAGAAGTAAGAAAAAATTTGGATAATTTTACTGATAAGTGTTTTATTGACTGATGGCCGATGCTGAAAAATGTTTGAAACTCTTTTTTTCTTCAAAATATTGAATTTACATATCCATATCTAAAGGATCATAATGAAAATGTTATTGTGACAATGAGCTAGAATATGTATGAGTCATATGAATTTGATTACAGATTAACATTGTTCTTATTTTTTAATAGATTTTACATGTACAGTCATGGGGTGAATGATGGTTCAATTTCTTCTAACTTAGGTATGTATTTTTTTTTTCATAAAACATGCATTCAGTTTGATGGCATTTTTAATAGTTGGTAACATTAATTCTGGAAGTTATGTTTTATTGGAAGTTTGTGTAACATATAAAATTTAGTTTAAAACAGTGGTTCAATCATATGCGTTTGATTCATTTTTCTTTTCCACTCAGAATCTTCTAGCAGTGCCCCCTCCCCCAGCACCCACCAGAGCTGTATTCCATACTTAGTGAGAGGTCAGCTACCCCCCTATGTCTGTGGATTGAGAAATCTGGTCACATTGGTGGACACAGACTATGTCCAGACTTACCAGTGGCTACTTGATGATGTCACCCCAGTGCCCAGGACACTGGACATCAGGAAGGGTTATACAGTAAGACTTTTAAGCTTTTAGCTTTTATTCTCTTTAGTCATCTGTTTTTGGATAGGTTTTCTTTTTGATTCAAACTCTGCAGTGCAGAAAACACATCCTGAACCCTTTATTGTTATATATTCTGTACATTCTTTAAGAAATTGTTTAACTGCAGATGTACTACTTTTGAATTGGAGACGTGTTAAACAAGAAAGACTATACATAAGTCAAAAAATTATTTTTAACAGCATGTATTCTAAATCTGTTTATATGTTTTACAGGCCTCTCAGGATCTAATAATTTTGAATTCTTGGATTTCAGATGTCAGTGGTTGCAGCCCTGTGTGGACCAGGTATATTTTCTAGCACCTTCGGTATTTCTTCTGCCAAGGTCAAGGTCAGAATTGAATATTTTGTGACTGGAAAAGATATCAATATGGTAAATAGATGTGATTCATCTGTTCATTTTACTATTACGTATTCATTTTACTATCTAAATGTGAAGCAAAAATCCTAACCATTAATGAGTTTTAACTTGATATTTATAGAGAGGTTTTGTATCATAAATATGCAGATTCTTGTGAAAAAAGAAGGTAAAACAGCATAATTAGGTTAGTTTTACAAAAGATAGTGTACTATTTAGGGTATTTTGCATTTATTTCTGTGTTATTTGCCCCAAAGGTGCCAATCCCAATTTTTTATATATATTTAAAATACTATGGGTTTCTGTATGGCTGAGATGAAAATCAAATCCCTGTGAGCTTATCTGAGAAATATGGTAACAGAAAAAAATTGTGGACATAATTAAAGTTTCGATTATATGCAGCCAATCATATCATTGCTTCGAATTGAGCTGGCTTACCTGTAAAGTGGAAAATTTGTGTTTTAGATAAGTTTCTTTTACATTAAACTAATGTGCTATTTGGGCAGGGTATTTCCCAAATGTTTGTCCTTTTAATCAACTGTCTAGACTGTGTTAAGTTTGTTTCTTTATATAGGATTACTTTTACTTACAGGGTATCGTTGCATTTGCGGAAAGCATTGCAAAAGATCTATGGGGAGCTCATTCTGAGGGTCCTCACATCCTACTGGGTTAGTGCAAACTTTTCACTTAACTATTATGTGCAAAATTCTGAACATCATTGCATTATGATATATTATCTATCATTATAACTTATATATAACACTAACTTTTGAAAGAGGCATGAGCCTACAATAGTTGTTAAAATTTTTTGTGTCTTACAAAAGGTGGCTGATTATTGCTTTACAATATTACAATTTTCAATTTTTTATCAAAAAGATTTTCTATTTATGTCAGGTATCAATGTCCCAGTGCAGGATAAGAACTCACAAGATACCTGGACAGAGAAATTGTGGACTGTGAAAAGAATGCAGAACTACTCGGTAAGGCATCATCATCTATACACTTCTTTACTTTTATATTATATTATATTAAATGCGTAGCTTTATATATTTTGTCCAGAAAATAATTTTCATCAAAGGTATGGCATATTTACCCATTTATTTTAAGGTTTAGATTTTACTAGTAAATCCATTTTATATGAGTAAGGGATGTCCATTATTATATGATTTAGGGATTCTGTGACTGTATGAACTTGCATGTTTAATATTCTTAGGATGAGTTCCTTGAAGCTGTCAAAGCATGTACTAAGGCCGAGAAGTGTCCTGTTGCTGAGGTATGACCTTTGAAACTGTAATGATAAATCTGCAACAAATGGTATAATCACCATTTTGAGTAGAAAAGCGGGGAGTGTGAAAAAAGACTAACTTTAATGTAAAAAATTTTAATGTGAAATGCCTAGAAAGAAAGAATTCTTATGCACTGAATATGTATTTAAGATTCTCGTATTCATAAAGTGCCATGTCTTTGTTGCTTTCAGTTTGCTTTTAAAGTTGACCCCTACACTCACATCTACAACAGGGGAGAAAAACAGTATGTGCTGAATTTCCTGGAGGAGACGCAGTCTGGAGCAGTCAGTCCAGGAGACACACCTGGCAGGTAAACTATGGCCTCATTCACAACCGAAGCTTGAAAGCTTACTGCATAATCCATGTGGGGAATCTTTTCAGTGTCTATTAAGGGATTCTGCAGCAAGCTTTCAAGTGGGTCATCTTTGTTTGATCCATGAATTTGTTAGTCCGTGGATCAACTTGTTTTGAATGTGACCTATATATCTATGTGGGAGAAGAGAGGGCAAACTGAAGGTCAGCCATAGTGAAGTTGTGCACTTGATACAGTTTAGGTACAGGACAAAATACCTCATTATCTTCACCAAATAAAGAATGCATCACCAGTAAATTCTGTAAAATGAATACTTTACAAATAGTTCACATATGTATACATGTATATAATTCAGGTAAAAAAATCTGCAGGACTTTCGAAAGTTTTAACCACGTTTTTGTTTTCGAATAGGTTAACCAGTTTTACAGCTCTGCCACTGCTAACCTTGCATGATGGCATTTTCATCAGTCATTCCAAAGCTGAATTTTATATGCTCTCCCACATGCCTGCCTTAGCTGACTTGGAAGGGGATTGGGACAGGCCTGATGTTAGAGGTATGTATTTGATATTATAGCAACACATCAGTATTTGACCCTGTAGAACAATGTGCTCCATATGTGAGGCTGTGGAATTTTAGTTATATATATATATTTATATTTATTGCTTGGTAGCATAAACATTAAAGTTTGATTAAAACCGTGAGTAATTGAAGTGAATTGCATTTTGATGTACCACATCAAGTATTGGCTTTCAGCTTCTCTGCAAAGTGTACAAAAATCTCAGCAAGAAAGCTCAAAGAACAAAAGGCGTGGTTGGAGAGCCATATTCAGCACAGTGAAGGCAGAGAAGGTTAAGACGGATGGCTTCAAGGATATGCAGACTGATGAGGAAAAAAAGTTAGGGCCATTTGGCTGGCAGTTTGTAGCACCTATCAAGTATGATATTGGTTTTACATTTTCCTTTATTATTATTCCAGCAGTTATGATGGGAGCAATTTAAATGACATGTAACTTAACTACATGTATGCTTGATCCATTCATTTTAAGATAAAAGAATATTAATTTTAATATCAATTTCTGAAATAGAATTATTTCCATGTTAAGTTGTACTGGCAATTTGTAACATTTATATTTTAAGACCAGGTGATACTGTAGAAACTGCATTGTCACAGTGTATTTTGTAACTTGACTAAATTCATCAGGATATTAAAAACTTAACTTTAAATTTAACTTTCTTGTAGGTCCTACTGGGAGAGGAAGATAGCCAGGATGCACCTTGAGGCAGAAGTATTTGACTGTGCCTATTACATTGTTTTATTAACGCTCATTGAAAGGTATTTGCTATGGGTCGGTGGCCTTTATCAATTGAATAAAGTTGAAAGGTATACATTTGGGAAATTTCGCTGTATGTTATTGGCAGTTTTAATGCATTTAAATTAGAAGTTTAATATAGTGTTCCTGTTCTAAATCAGTCCACCCTCTCTCTCTCTCTCTCTCTCTCTCTCTCTCTCTCTCTCTCTCTCTCACACACACACACACACACACACACATGTGGCCTTGTAGCTTTTCCTTTTCTTCACTGCAGTGATGTGTACCCAACCCAAGAGCTTCACAGAGAGGTGAACCACTTGATGCACTGCACAGCAGCCAAGTTGCATGCTCTGATGGAGGTAAACAGAGCTGTCATAGACTTGATACAGTGCTTCCAGGGGGTAAGGACGGTTAGCTAGACATTTCAGTACTTTTTTTACCAACTTTTCACTATTGCAAAAGAGGCAACTGGTATATCATTATTAATTCGAAGAAATTTGAAGGCAAAGGATTTTATCAAAGATTTTGGATGGAAAAGTATATTCAGTTGATTTACAAAATTACACATTTGTGTTTTCAGTATGTGGAGGCCACACTAGTTGACACCATGTTTATGAAATACAGGAATGATGTCATCAATCTTTTGGCTGGAAGTGAACTGTAAGTTTATTATGCGCACTTAACTCAAGTGAAAGGAGTATTAATAATATGTAATAGTAATTATTCTCCTACATAGATGGTAACTGTTTTCCAATAAAAGGCTATTGGTTTGATTATGTAATCTTTGGTATTTTTTTAGGCAGGAAAGAAGCAGTGCAATGCATGCTGCCAGCAGGCGACTGGCAGCTTGGCTAGATAAAGTTACCTACATGGATGGAAGGCAGACACTTAGGGTGTCTCTGAAACCCAAGGTATGAAAAGCATGTTTTACTTACTTCTTAGTTTTTTTAATACAGGTATGTATCCATATTAAATGTAGTGCTTTTAACATACCTTTTGTCACACAGATTTGACGATTTTCCACATGTTGTTACTTTTCAGAGTATTGAAATGTTGCAGGCAGTAAACCAGTACTGTATTCCTTTACTACTGATAATGACTGAGGATGCATTACATTGGTGTCCACAAATAAAGGTACATGCAATTTTACCTCTTTGTAATTTGACAAATAGTATATCTTGCCTAGGTTTCTTTTTCATGCACACGTATGAAAAATATGTAGAGTTTAATTATCTGGTCGAATACAAATACAAGATCTTCATAGGTTTATTAACATGTTTGAATTATATTAAATTATATTAAATTTGTCAATTTGTTATAAAGTATTATTAGTTAGTAGTAAATTTGTATATTCCAGATAAACAACTTTTATGGTGATAAATCCCATTACATAGTGTCACATTCAGCTGTACATTTGTGCTGACTTAACGTTGATGCAAGATTGTGTTGTCACAGTCAATTAATAAAAATTGGTTTTCCATTAGCTTCACGTATTTTCATGGAATAATCTAACTATACTGAATTATATAATTTTAGCAATGTATTACATCAATAAAGGAGAAGTATCCCGAGGAAGCCTGTGTTGATAAGGCTGCTAAGGAACCTGTAAGTTATACAGTTGATTGATTTTGTAATGTGAAAATTATTATTTTTTTAAATAACATGCTGTTGATTAGATGTAACATGAGATTTGTAGGTGACTTCATTTTTGACAAATCATCAAGCTGTTAGCAATGTTTCCAGAGTGTGCCAGAAGCAGAGCAGTATGTCCATGGTTCAGAGATTGAGGCAATTATACAACATGACTTATCAGGTAAACCTTTTGACATAATTTGAAGAATTTTATTTTCCAAAGACCCATCTAGTACTCTCCATGTTTATTCCTTAGATACGTAAAGCCTGTAAATAGATAATTTTTCATTAAAATGGTCTCTAATGTAGATGTGTCTTTGTTGTTATTTTAGGAATAGACGTTACTTCAGTTGGACAAGGAAGCATGGTGCCTTCAGCTATAGCTAGAGATTCTGTCTTGTTGAAGGTACATATAACTATAATGGATAGTTCTGCAGTTGTCTTAAGCTCCCAAAATATAACACTTTGTCATGTATCTGTGCTAGCTTAATATGGAGCTTTTTAAGACTTTTGAATGTCATCAGTTCAGAATAGTTAGTTATCCATTTTACATTTCTTCCATGCAGTATACAGGATTTGCCAAAGACATCAGTGAAAAACACGAAATATAAATTGACTGATATTTTGCTAGTTCAGGCCCTCTGCCACCCAAGCTAATATTGGTACAAATCTATTTTGTTTCAGTATGTGTCTGATACTCATTTAGATGAAACATGGCAGGAGTTTTTACTAGACTTGTTGTCAGGTGGCAGTCTTCCCCCCAATCCCTATCCAAGACTACTCACAAAGCTCACTGAAGCTGCAAACAGGTAAAAACAGGAAATATCGGCAAACAATTTCGTTATATTCAACATTAAGAATATTGCTATGCTAGAGATGAATGTTGAAACTGAATTATAATTCAGAAATAAGAATGTTACAACCATTACAATAAATCATATACTGAGTAGGGCAGAGTTGAAATTTGTCAGTATCACATAAACCAAATGAAGTGAAGATAATCTGGTGATCATTTGCTTTATTTAAAAATATTTTTAAGAATGGATGTCCAGTATATGACTCCACACAGGGTCACTGAAGAGGTGTACCATGGAAGAGAACAGCTGGATGAACCTGATGGCTATATTTTTACCATACCAGGGACTCAGATATACGGTAGGTAATGTTTCTGCTGCACCACTACTTATTTTTATCTCCTAGCATTAATTTGATAAGACNCTCTCTCTCTCTCTCTCTCTCTCTCTCTCTCTCTCTCTCTCTCTCTCTCTCTCTCTCTCACACACACACACACACACACACACACACACACACATCAAATGTGGCCTTGTAGCTTTTCCTTTTCTTCACTGCAGTGATGTGTACCCAACCCAAGAGCTTCACAGAGAGGTGAACAACTTGATGCACTGCACAGCAGCCAAGTTACATGCTCTGATGGAGGTAAACAGAGCTGTCATAGACTTGATACAGTGCTTCCAGGGGGTAAGGACGGTTAGCTAGACATTTCAGTACTTTTTTAACCAACTTTTCACTATTGCAAAAGAGGCAACCGGTATATCATTATTAATTCGAAGAAATTTCAAGGCAAAGGATTTTATGCAAAGATTTTGGATGGAAAAGTATATTCAGTTGATTTACAAAATTACGCATTTATGTTTTCAGTATGTGGAGGCCACACTAGTTGACACCATGTTTATGAAATACAGGAATGATGTCATCAATCTTTTGGCTGGAAGTGAACTGTAAGTTTATGCGCACTAAACTCAAGTAAAAGGAGCATTAGTAATGTGTAATAGTAATTATTCTCCTACATAGATGGTAACTGTTTTCCAAGAAAAGGCTATTGGTTTGATTATGTAATCTTTGGTATTTTTTTAGGCAAGAAAGAAGCAGTGCAATGCATGCTGCCAGCAGGCGACTGACATCTTGGCTAGATAAAGTTACCTACATGGATGGAAGGCAGACACTTAGGGTGTCTCTGAAACCCAAGGTATGAAAAGCATGTTTTACTTACTTCTTGGTTTTTTTAATGCAGATATGTATCCGAATTAAATGCAGTGCTTTTAACATACCTTTTGTCACACAGATTTGATGATTTTCCACATGTTATTACTTTTCAGAGTATTGAAATGTTGCAGGCAGTAAACCAGTACTGTATTCCTTTACTACTGATAATGACTGAGGATGCATTACATTGGTGTCCACAAATAAAGGTACATGCAATTTTACCTCTTTGTAATTTGACAAATAGTATATCTTGCCTAGGTTTCTTTTTCATGCACACATATGAAAAATATGTAGAGTTTAATTATCTGGTCGAATACAAATACAAGATCTTCATAGGTTTATTAACATGTTTGAATTATATTAAATTATATTAAATTTGTCAATTTGTTATAAAGCATTATTAGTTAGTAGTAAATTTGTATATTCCAGATAAACGGCTTTTATAGTGATAAATCCTTTTATGTAGTGTCACATTCAGCTGTACATTTGTGATGACTTAACGTTGATGCAAGATCGTGTTGTCACAGTCAATTAATAAAAATTGGTTTTCCATTAGCTTCACATATTTTCATGGAATAATCTTACTATACTGAATTATATAATTTTAGAAATGTATTACATCAATAAAGGAGAAGTATCCCGAGGAAGCCTGTGTTGATAAGGCTGCTAAGGAACCTGTAAGTTATACAGTTGATTGATTTTGTTTTGTGAAAATTGTTATTTTTTTAATAACATGTTGTTGACTCGGATGTAACATGAGATTTGTAGGTGACTTCATTTTTGACAAATCATCAAGCTGTTAGCAATGTTTCCAGAGTGTGCCAGAAGCAGAGCAGTATGTCCATGGTTCAGAGATTGAGGGAATTATACAACATGACTTATCAGGTAAACCTTTTGACATAATTTGAAGAATTTTATTTTCCAAAGACCCATCTCGTACTCTACATGTTTATTCCTTAGATACGTAAAGCCTGTAAATAGATAATTTTTCATTAAAATGGTCTCCAATGTTGATGTGTCTTTGTTGTTATTTTAGGAATAGATGTTACTTCAGTTGGACAAGGAAGCATGGTGCCTTCAGCCATAGCTGGAGATTCTGTCTTGTTGAAGGTACATATAACTATAATGGATAGTTCTGCAGTTGTCTTAAGCTCCCAAAATATAACACTTTGTCATGTATCTGTGCTAGCTTAATATGGAGCTTATTAAGACTTTTGAATGTCATCAGTTCAGAATAGTTAGTTATCCATTTTACATTTCTTCCATGCAGTATACAGGATTTGCCAAAGACATCAGTGAAAAACACGAAATATAAATTGACTGATATTTTGCTAGTTCAGGCCCTCTGCCACCCAAGCTGATATTGGTACAAATCTATTTTGTTTCAGTATGTGTCTGATACTCATTTAGATGAAACATGGCAGGAGTTTTTACTAGACTTGTTGTCAGGTGGCAGTCTTCCCCCCAATCCCTATCCAAGACTACTCACAAAGCTCACTGAAGCTGCAAACAGGTACAAATAGGAACTCTCAACAAACAATTTCGTAACAGTTATATCCAACATTAACAATATTGCTATGCTAAAGATGAATGTAAAAACTTAATTGTGATTCAAAAATAAGAATGTTACAACCATTACCATTTATTACCAATAAATCATATATTGGGTAGAACAAAGTTGAGATTTAATTGTCAGTATCACATAAACCAAATGAAGTGAATATAATCTGGTGGTCATTTGCTTTGTGTAAAAATATTTTTAAGAATGGATGTCCAGTATATGACTCCACACAGGGTCACTGAAGAGGTGTGCCATGGAAGAGAACAGTTGGATGAACCTGATGGCTATATTTTTACCATACCAGGGACTCAGATATACGGTAGGTAATGTTTCTGCTGCACCACTACTTATTTTTATCTCCTAGCATTAATTTGATAATTCAAATATGGTAGAGGTGTTTGGTACAATACAATAGAATGGATAGATTATTTAAACATTTTCCTGGTAGTTCATTTGCCAGAATTGTGTTATATTACTTGTATGTTGTAGGCACTGAGGGATGTTTGGGGGTTTTAGACTGGGACAGTTTCTCCCAAGTTATCCCAGTGGGACAGGAATTGCTCATGCATAAGTACCCTCACAGGAAGGGTCCTTACCGAGTGAGTTGTAAACTTTAAGATATATAGTTTAATTGGATTGTCTGCTGCAATAGTTATTTTCCAAAAATATCTATATTGAAGAAATGTCTTTAAATGTTTGGTATCTAATTTAAAGCTGCATTTGTTAATATTTATCTTGAAATATATATAAAGTATGACAGGTGGGTGTGTCTTATTTCTCCTCCACAGCTGGCAGTGTGTCCTGCCATAAGTGGTGATACTTTCCTGTATGGTAAGATGTCACCATATCTCCATAGTGTGTGCTTACATGAATACTGTTTCATCAGAGGTCCACGGAAGACTGCCCGAAAAGCTTTGGAGTGGTTTGCTGATATTGGTAAGTCATGCGCATGATGTTTTGTAAGGTATGCTGAAAATAATCCAGAAAATTTTACAAAAAGCAGGTTTTAGTGTATTGCATAGGTTCCAAACTGAGCTCGTTTAAAGGGCTGCTTAGTAAAAAAGGTTGCTTACTTTCATCTTAATATGAAACAAGTTCTTGTATTTTAATTGAATGAGAATTGCTCTGAGCAATAGGTACCTTTTATGATGGCCAGTTTAACTATTAGTACTGTGTGGCTGTGTTATAGTGTACCATCACTTGGCACAGCTGTATGAGGAAGGCACCATGGTGTTGTATGGTGTATATATGGGGACTGCTTCAAGAAACAACCGCTGGACACTAGAGGGAGCTCTCAACAAGAGGAAACAGTTTGAAACAGAACTCATCAGACACCTGGCAGCAAAGGAACCTGTATATCTTAAGGTCTGGTAGCTATGCTATGTAAACTATGTTTAAGAGGTGTTATAGCTTGATTTGACTTTTTTTCAACAGAGCAAATAACTTTGAGTAATACTGTACTCTGAAAGTATGGATATGATTTTTAGTGCTTGCATACAGTGACCTCATGTTTCTGCTGGTATTGCAGTGAATTTCAGTGAATAACAAATTTATATTTGGAGAATTATTTATCATTATTGTAGGCATATGTGGCTGTGGAGTGGAGATACATTCCTGTCATCAAACATTTCATGTTGCAATTTATAAGTGAGGATGAAAATGAGTAAGTTTTCATGCAGAAGTGTCCTCTATTTGAATACTTTTTTATGGGCACAAATTTAAATCTTCAATGGAAAATGTTGTATATTCCTTATTGCAGAAAAAATGTTAGACAATGTAAAACTGTATGAAAATAGTTTAATCATGTACAGATAGAAAGTGCAAAGGAACCTTACAAAGTTCAATGTTTCTCTGTTTTCAGGTATGAAATGTTCTACTGTCATACTCCTATACACATCCACCAGAGTGTCTTTATGGACAAGGAAAAGGTAATAAACCTTGGGCACTGTAAGTTTATACATTTTCAGTGAATGCCTAAGGTAATGTNCAAATATGGTAGAGGTGTTTGGTACAATACAATAGAATGGATAGATTATTTAAACATTTTCCTGGTAGTTCATTTGCCAGAATTGTGTTATATTACTTGTATGTTGTAGGCACTGAGGGATGTTTGGGGGTTTTAGACTGGGACAGTTTCTCCCAAGTTATCCCAGTGGGACAGGAATTGCTCATGCATAAGTACCCTCACAGGAAGGGTCCTTACCGAGTGAGTTGTAAACTTTAAGATATATAGTTTAATTGGATTGTCTGCTGCAATAGTTATTTTCCAAAAATATCTATATTGAAGAAATGTCTTTAAATGTTTGGTATCTAATTTAAAGCTGCATTTGTTAATATTTATCTTGAAATATATATAAAGTATGACAGGTGGGTGTGTCTTATTTCTCCTCCACAGCTGGCAGTGTGTCCTGCCATAAGTGGTGATACTTTCCTGTATGGTAAGATGTCACCATATCTCCATAGTGTGTGCTTACATGAATACTGTTTCATCAGAGGTCCACGGAAGACTGCCCGAAAAGCTTTGGAGTGGTTTGCTGATATTGGTAAGTCATGCGCATGATGTTTTGTAAGGTATGCTGAAAATAATCCAGAAAATTTTACAAAAAGCAGGTTTTAGTGTATTGCATAGGTTCCAAACTGAGCTCGTTTAAAGGGCTGCTTAGTAAAAAAGGTTGCTTACTTTCATCTTAATATGAAACAAGTTCTTGTATTTTAATTGAATGAGAATTGCTCTGAGCAATAGGTACCTTTTATGATGGCCAGTTTAACTATTAGTACTGTGTGGCTGTGTTATAGTGTACCATCACTTGGCACAGCTGTATGAGGAAGGCACCATGGTGTTGTATGGTGTATATATGGGGACTGCTTCAAGAAACAACCGCTGGACACTAGAGGGAGCTCTCAACAAGAGGAAACAGTTTGAAACAGAACTCATCAGACACCTGGCAGCAAAGGAACCTGTATATCTTAAGGTCTGGTAGCTATGCTATGTAAACTATGTTTAAGAGGTGTTATAGCTTGATTTGACTTTTTTTCAACAGAGCAAATAACTTTGAGTAATACTGTACTCTGAAAGTATGGATATGATTTTTAGTGCTTGCATACAGTGACCTCATGTTTCTGCTGGTATTGCAGTGAATTTCAGTGAATAACAAATTTATATTTGGAGAATTATTTATCATTATTGTAGGCATATGTGGCTGTGGAGTGGAGATACATTCCTGTCATCAAACATTTCATGTTGCAATTTATAAGTGAGGATGAAAATGAGTAAGTTTTCATGCAGAAGTGTCCTCTATTTGAATACTTTTTTATGGGCACAAATTTAAATCTTCAATGGAAAATGTTGTATATTCCTTATTGCAGAAAAAATGTTAGACAATGTAAAACTGTATGAAAATAGTTTAATCATGTACAGATAGAAAGTGCAAAGGAACCTTACAAAGTTCAATGTTTCTCTGTTTTCAGGTATGAAATGTTCTACTCTCATACTCCTATACACATCCACCAGAGTGTCTTTATGGACAAGGAAAAGGTAATAAACCTTGGGCACTGTAAGTTTATACATTTTCAGTGAATGCCTAAGGTAATGTGCAGTACCTTTTTCTATGTTCATTTGGTTGCAAGTTGTTCATTCAGCTAAAAAGAGTAATTCACATTTATGTGTAACAGTTACTGTAGGAAAATAACATGCATGTGTGAATGTTGTAACTGCATCAGATCTGGATATCCTCGTTGATTAAACAATAAGAAGAAAATAGCTGTAGATAAAGAATGTAACTCTCTTGTATATCTGTTATTTATTTATTTTTTTATCTATTTATTTATTTATTTATTTATTTATTTACTTTGTAGGGGGGGTGCACATGTAAATATGCAGTACATGTATATTTCTTGACAGAACTCTTTAAATTATCTGAAAATGTCAGAATTAACAATTGTTGAAGCACTCCTCTCTTCCAGGCCAGTTTTTACTACCAACGCTGTGACCCTCTGTCTGATGAGGACCCATACTCCCCAGGGAACAGCCTGCAGGTACTGGGCTACATTGACCAGAGAATTCTGGAGGCAAGAAAAGAAGCAGACTGGGTCAGTGTCCAGAAGTGGATACTGCAAAAGTCAATAGTCACTAAGGTCAGTTATATGCCATGTCCTGTTAGCATATTTTTTATTGGTAATTGATGCGCTTTAGGAACAGTGTCAATTTATGGTTGTTCTTTGCATTTTTTGTTCCATGGAGTTTTTGGTGTATACTTTATACTAAATCTTTTTCATTTATTGCAGAAGTCGGATCAGATTGGTGAAAGTTGGTATTTATTCCACAGCATTGCTGGAAGGTTGGAGTACCTCCGCACCCTGATCCAGTCTTTGACTGACTTAGTTAACTATGGCTTAGAGAAGGAGAAGAGTCCACTGAGGGTCAGCAGGCAAGTGGACAGAAGTCGAGCCACGCTGTCCAGTCAGGTGGTACAGGTAAGTGCAGTAACTCTCTAAAATGTAGCTGTACCCTTGTGTGTGCAGTGATTTGAGGCTGGTGGTCACTTGTTATTTAACTCTTGAAATATATGTTATGTTTCATTCACAGAGTTCTATCTTACTTTTTGATTATGTTTACATAACCTTAACCCTTATATAGTTGGTAAATTCCTTTATTCCTGTGGACCTGTTAGTAATGTGATATGATTCCTCTACTCCAGAGTCCTGTTGACCAGTCAGTAATGTGTAGGATGGTGACAGCTTTCAGGCAGAAGTTTCGCCAGGTAGTGACCAGTAGGGTGGCCCTTGCTGCCGCATCTCTGTTGGACTTTGACCTGGTCAAGCTGGACCAGTGCATGGAACTGGACACTACAACTAACCTCTGGGTGCCACACAGTCATGAACAGGTAACTGGAAAATGGGACTATGGAACCTTTACTTTCCATTATTTTCACATTTTGCATAATGTTGACTTTATCAGTACATGTATTTTCATCTGTCACATAATTTGTTGTATTTCAACCCATGTTTTATTTTCATACCCTAATTTTCAGTTTCTATGATTCATTTATTTAAAATTATATTTCAGGTAATTGCCACATTTGAAGAAGTATCTCTACATCTTCTATACCTTCAAGATTTAGCAGCTTTCAGTTTTTATCAGTCCAACCTGCTTGCACAAGCAACTATGCAAAGTGTTGAAAGAAAGGCAGAACAGAGGCCAGAGAGTGTATATTCCCAAGATATGAGAAGTCACAGTAACTACATAATGAAACCAGCAGCTTATGTAGACAACACAGACCAAAGTGATCACCTGTTGAGGCCAGTGACTCATACTGATAATACAACAGAGTGGTGATTTAACCACATTAAATACATGACAGTGTTAAATTAAATTAAATCTTTTTATGCTGGTTTTTCATAGCTGAAGAAAAATCTGTGATATATTTTGTCTGTGATAATAAAATGCCCATTAATATGGCTTTGTCAACAAAGGACAGTGTATTTTATTATTGTAGATGACATACACGTACCCTTGTTACAGCACAACCAATGTCATTATTGCAGTGTAATGTTGCATTGCCCTCAGACTAATAGCTTCATTATGTAATTGCTGGACTGTCATCAGGACCATCTATCTGTATTGTCCTCAAGGTTTTAAGCTCTGTAAATGTATCTGGGGGACTTTCATAAATCTTGTCACTTGTTGTTTTTTTTATTGTGATTCAATCATTCCTTCATATCATAAGTGATATATAGCCTTAAAAAGCTGTACTATGAAAGTTCCATTTTCCCCCCTGTAAACTATTTCATCTGAAAAGAGCTGATGCAAAAAGAGAGGAAGTTTTGCTGTGGAATGGCCCTATACACTATTATTAGTATTAAGAGAAGTAAGGAGAGTGGATAGTCAAAGGGGCGTGTCCTGTGAGCATATGTACTAACTGCTGTCATAGAAGTAGAGGACAACTGTGGAGATCCTAACAGTACATATGTTCAGTGTACATCAGTGTAAAAGCTTTTTCAGTGGTGTAAGTTTTGCAGAAGATTCTTCATTTTAAATGTTATTATATTCAGCAAAATGTAGGGGTTTTATTTTTGAATGGTTTTCATTTGTTGAATTTGAATACAAACAGTGACCTTAAAATAAAGCATTATTTCAATGTATTTCTGAGTGGTAAATTCTTTGCAAGTTGATTTGTTTGTATAGTTTCCTAATTTAATACCAATTCACTAATTGTTTCATGTTAAATCTAAATAAATGTGCTATAAATATGAAATCAGCTTCTACCAGGTGTATATTTTCATTGTCCAAATATAAATATTTGAAAGGAATTGATATTTTTAAAGTTGGTCCAAAAATTGGTGCTAAATGTTTCTAAAAATTGGCTCACAACTAGAACTAAAATTATACAAATCTTTACTTTCTTTATTTTGAAGCAGTGGTATAAACAACATGCATCTTTGATATAACATTTAACATTTTACTAAGAATATATGGAATAAATATGAAAATAATTCTAACTATGGAAAAGATGTTATTACAAAATACGAACTTTAGACTGTAAAGACAGTTTCTTGGAATGCTTCCCCCACCACCATATATTTTTAGACTGGAAATTGGGATTTGTATTCAGTTAAATTCATAATCTCTTAAATGTCCTTAATTGTAAGATAAAAATGTGTTAAAACATTACTCAAGTTACTCAAAGCACTGGCAAACTTCTAGCAAAAGTCTGCTCACAGCTACAGCTACATTAATAAAGGAAGAATGAATCTTGATGATAAAATGGTTTTCTTAACCTTCTATATGACAATTTCACTAGATCTATCACAATTTTTCTTTGGATCTTTTCTGCTGTTTCTCATCAAAATAACCTGATGGCAAACATCCTTCTCATAGATTTTACCAAATCCCCTTGCACCATATGATATGTTTAAAGAACATAAAAGACCCTTGGATATATAAGTTTTGCCATATATATGTGTGTGCGTATCATACATTTTAAAACAGAAATTGTACCAAACATAGATCTCATACTAAACAAGCAGCAACTGCAGTACACATGTAGTTACACAGTTTGTCATTGAAATTAATAAAATTATTAATAGTAAGGTGTGTCTATGGAAAGCTTTTCCACATCCTTTAGTAATTCTCGCTCAAAGTTGTACAAGGATGTATCTATGGGAACAAACTTAATGATGTCCAGTTCTTGTAGTTTGGGCTGCCACCTTGGGTCTTCATGCATAGTTAACATTACCTCTGCTATCCTGCTTTTTAACTCCTCTGTAATAGAAGCAAAATACAAGACAATACTGATCTCTGTATAAAATTGTGTGTAACTGAAGAATGAAAACACTCACTGGGAATCAATAGGACAACATATGACTGTTAAAGTATATACGAGTCCATGGAGCTAAGAAAAAGACTGACACCACATCAGAGGTATTCAGTTACCATACCTGGCAACCTTGCATTGACCACCATTGGATACACAGACATTGGACCCCAGGTTGTCAAGATGTGAATGGAACTCCGTAGCTCAGGGTTTTTCTTGAGGAAAGCTCGTAAGCAGTTGGAATCTATAGCTGCCACATCAACCACACGATCCAATACCATGCGAATGGAGTTCAGGTGGGATCCTAAGGGGAGTAATTTATGAATACCATATTGTTTAAATGTTCCAGCAGTGCATTCAGGAATAGATTTTCTCATCTGTTGTATTCTGTATGTTATATTGGCATTGTGTGTGTGCATGTGTGCATGTGTGCGTATATATATACACTTCTGGGAACAGCCTTGCCATCTTGTTTGCAAGTTTGCTATTATGATTGTCATAACCTACCGACTCAACCTTTTCCATTTGCCCTGTTTGAGCTTATCTACGGGGAATTGAAAAAAACGAACACTTTTTCTGGCTTCTTCTGTGACTACGCCCAAAGGCGAAGCAGAAAACCGTGTTGACAGCTGTAGTCACTGTTGATAAGACTGCCAAAACATCGTGCCATATTTAACATGTCCCCAGGAGTGATGAAATTTTGTGGAATCCCGCAAACTTCAGTTTTAATTTCTGTGCCCATTAGTGTCTGACATTTTCCAACATGCTTTAATTTGTGCATAATTTCTACTTTCTGTTGTAAATCACACTTAATTTACCTGAACAAAATGTGCTAGCAAAAAAACTTGTATTTGTGCCCATCTTCTTCAGTTGTGATAATACTATGAAGTTTCCACTAAGTGATTCTGAGTCACTATAGCCTAATCTGCGGCCTTTCAGGTCATGGAATTCCTTTATACTGGACCTAAAAAAAAAAAAAAAAAAAAAATATATATATATATATATATATATATATATATATATATATATATATAATTAATTAGTTTAACATTACAATAGATATCTCATTAGCAGCTCTGTATCTAAAGCCATTATGTAGAATTTTTTTCCAAACTCAGCAATGCTTTGTTGGTGCATAATAAGTATAAACAACTTCTTACAATTTATATTATCATATTGCAACCTCTACTGAATTACAATTATTATTATTATTATTATTATTATTATTATTATAATTTGTAATGCATTATACTAAATCACTAGACAGTGGTGTATCTGATTATCATTAACAATTTATTACTAAATGGTTCTGTATATATTCCATTTGAAAGCATACTTGTTATCAGAATGTATAATGACATCTGAGAAGTAAACTGGTCTGTTTTCTCCCTTGGGATGTACAAATACTGGGGCCACTGGAATATGCTCTATGTATTTGTTCTTACGATCTTGAAGACGGAGAAAAGATGGACTGCATATAAATCCTATAACAAAATTAAAAGTTTAGTAATAAACAAACAAACATAATAAATAATTCAATTTTTAACTTATTTTATTGACAATATCCTACATATGATCAAATGTGCTAATAATAAGAGACATACCAACATCTGCCTCATCTTTGGTAAAAGGATCTGTCCTACTCCGAGGTGGTCCACTCCAGCGAGATTCATAAATTAGATATGCCTCCCTTTCCAGCTTCTCCTCCAGGTATTGCATGATAGTTTCAAACACTTCAACAGGGACATTGGGGGACAGGTATGTGATCATTCTCAGGCTTTTTGCTTCCATTTTATTTGTCCCTGTTGTTGATACAACTAGATTATTATAATTATTATTATTGTTATTATTATTATTATACAGATATGGTGCAAGTATCTTACAAAGGGTAAATGTATCTCAAAGAATTACATGGAAAATTGTACATAAAAGGAGATAGGCCTATTATTTCTTAAAATCAAAATGCTATGGGCAGATGTTTAATGATTGGGTCTCTAAAGCTGAACCTCTAGCATGTTTGCAAAAAAAAAAAAAAAAAAAAAAAATATATTTGTTAACATGTAAACCTATTCAAGTCACAGCTTACACTGTTCTTAGACTTAGACCATCAGTTTAAAGGGGTAGCATAAATTCGGGAGAGGCCTGAGCACTCCAAAGTTAACGTNGTATTTGTTCTTACGATCTTGAAGACGGAGAAAAGATGGACTGCATATAAATCCTATAACAAAATTAAAAGTTTAGTAATAAACAAACAAACATAATAAATAATTCAATTTTTAACTTATTTTATTGACAATATCCTACATATGATCAAATGTGCTAATAATAAGAGACATACCAACATCTGCCTCATCTTTGGTAAAAGGATCTGTCCTACTCCGAGGTGGTCCACTCCAGCGAGATTCATAAATTAGATATGCCTCCCTTTCCAGCTTCTCCTCCAGGTATTGCATGATAGTTTCAAACACTTCAACAGGGACATTGGGGGACAGGTATGTGATCATTCTCAGTCTTTTTGCTTCCATTTTATTTGTCCCTGTTGTTGATACAACTAGATTATTATTATTATTATTATTGTTATTATTATTATTATTATTATACAGATATGGTGCAAGTATCCTACAAAGGGTAAATGTATCTCAAAGAATTACATGGAAAATTGTACATAAAAGGAGATAGGCCTATTATTTCTTAAAATCAAAATGCTATGGGCAGATGTTTAATGATTGGGTCTCTAAAGCTGAACCTCTAGCATGTTTGCAAAAAAAAAAAAAAAAAAAGGAAATATATTTGTTAACATGTAAACCTATTCAAGTCACAGCTTACACTGTTCTTAGACTTAGACCATCAGTTTAAAGGGGTAGCATAAATTCGGGAGAGGCCTGAGCACTCCAAAGTTAACGTTATTCCATAATTCATACTGTACCTGAACTCTCGCTTCAGCAATCAAAATATTAACTTGACTAATCCTCCGAGCACCGTGTATAAAGTGTCGCGTGTCCCTGTGGAAAGCAAACTATTATTGCTGTAACCACCAGTTACGTTCCTTACTCCTGAGATTCCTCTGTAATATTACATCCCTCGATCATGCCTCGATCAGCTGCTCAACACACAATTACTGGTAGTAGCATCGGAGTCTATTTACGGTCACTTTCAAAGACTGTTTAGGGTGTTACAAAGTAATGAATGATGTACTAATAAAACACGCATGTGATAAACGTTATATCATTTTATGGATATTGCAAAGAGATTTCTAATTATTGATAAAATTAGGAGATTCTGCTTTAAGAAAAGTGTACATACAAAAAATGGCATATTTCCCTATCAAATTGTCTCATTTATGTGACGTTATTTCATTGCCATTTTATTTCTTACATTTATAACATTCTGTACGCTGTATGTGTATACTGTGCATGTTGTTTACTCTTTTGTAATTGTACCTTCAATGTTAAGGTTAACACCAAAATATTCCATTACCACCTAACAAAAATACGCATGCGTGCTTTTGCCGGAAATAAATCCCTGGAAGCTAGATCATTGATTGAACTTCTGTATGCTCCATTAACATTGATTGGCTTACTTTTAGTGTATGGATGGACACGTATTTCACGTAGGTGTGAATTCTACGTATTTGGGGACATGTTAATTTTACTTTTAAACTTAGTGTTTTGGATTTTAGTGGTTGGATTGTTTAGTTTTTGAACAGGTCATTTAACTTACTACTACTAGTCTGCTTCAATGCATTCTACAGGTAAATACTACGTTTTCTACCAATACCAGTTTTTCTTTAAAGCAGCACAGTGAGAAAGTTAACTGGATCTGTTGCTGTAATATACTGTGAAGTGAATGTTTATAAACGACTTGTGACTCCTTCAATGCTTCATCAGATAAATTGTGACTTTCAAACTTGTGAAAGAGTGTGTAAACTCTGTAACATTTATATTACATGGGTGCAGTTAATATTATTAGCTGTTTAGGATTAATGATAGGGTTTACATTTTAACATGTAAACATCTTGGTTAACTTGACTTCATGTTAGATGACTCATTTTGTACTATTCATTTTATGCCAGTTAGAATCAAGTGTATGACGGGAATAATATGAGATAGGCCAAAGTCTTGTGACTAAGTGTAAAGACAAGCTAGATTTCATGAGATTCTGAGAATGGAATCAGAAATGATGGCAGAGGAGTGAGTACTGTTTAAGTGCAATCTGTTGCACAACAGTGCAAATTCCTCATGCTACAGGTCACTTATAGCTATACTACAGGTCACTTATAGCTAAACTAGAGGTCACTAATTGTAGCTATACTACATTCCACTTATAGCTATACTTGGGTTCACTTATAGCTACACTGCAGGTCACTTATAGCTAATAGTAACTCAAGCAAGGTAGTGATTTCTAGAAGGTAGAGATTTCTAAAAGAAGACATGCTTATATAACAGAGGTGCACAAATACTGAATTATGATTTTAAAGGGGGGGGGGGTAAGAACACATGATGAATGAGGCATCACCATATATAGGAACAGTTGCAAATTAAGTCTTCCATTTACAATTAAACTGTTATAATTGTTAATGTTTTACAATGAATTATTATAATTATGATAAAAATGCTGATGAGAAGCTATGAATTCACTTTAAAGTCACTTCAATTTTCTATGGTCATCCTGAACATGGAGATTGTTGTGTTCACTTGATATGTAGCAGCAAAGCAAATAGACTATTTATTTATTAATTTTTTTTTAGATTCACTTTGGACAAACCGGTGTATCTTTAAAAGAAATTGGGATTGCTTGTCATAAATGCTCAAACTTCTATGGATTGAAAATCTTATTTCACAATCAAAACATCAATATTGCTCACTGATTCATTTTTAGAATATTTAGTAAATGACTCTACAAGAAGAAAGAAAAGGAAGAAAATAGAATTCACACAAAGTTATGGAGAACTCTAAATCTCAAGGTTTAATCTCTACAATTTTATTGATATACTAGTATATTATATTGAGAGAGGGTTCCATGGTAGCGCTATAAAATATGGTATATATATATCTTAAGTTAACATCTAAGGTTTACAGTGATATATTAGAAGTTGAAATTTTAAAAGCAGTCATTCTTTCAAAGCCTTGATGTGCACTTAAACTAGTAGGATTTATGTAAGTAAGTGCTTAGGGATCATTTTACACTGCATGTCTGAACAGTTTCATGTAATCATATTCACTAAAACTATTGATATCATTGTGCTGAAATCCCTTCCTCAGTATTGTTGCCTTTCTCAGAAACCCTTCACTCTCTTCTTTTATAAAAAGAACCTCAATTAAGAACATTTATTGATCTTGATATACTGCTCTTGTCATGAATAACATTTATAGAGATCAGTAAGAATTTGGCAAGGTAATTAAAAGATCATATGTTTGATTTGTGGAGATCAGTTTATTAAAAGTGTGAGCTATGATGGCAGTGCTATTTCTTTGTTAGCTTGGAAGTTTCAGCATATATTTAAGAAGAGACAGAATGTCAACCTTTTACTTTGGATCATTATTTAGTCATATGTATAGAAGAGCAAAGATGTATTTTAAGGAATACTGTTCTAGTGCACCTAAAATTTTGCCCTTTAGATTATGGACTGCCGATGGAAATAAAACTTACCAATCTTGTACTAGTAATTAGAATACTTTACAAAACATATGATACTAATGTGTTCCAGCTGTGATATAAAGTGCTGTACCATATTGTTCCATACCATGACAAATGGAGCCCTGTGGTTTCAGTTTATCTGTGTCACATGCTCGAACTTCACTTCACATTGTCTTGCACATGGAGGGCTTTTATCTAATAATACTGGTGTCTTATTTTACATGTGCTTGACAGGCATCTTGCAGTGTTACAAAGAAGTTTCTTGGTATTTGATTTTGGTGTGGAGTATGACAATTCTAAGGGTTTATATAAGGGTCCAATCACTATAATAAAGCAGGAATATATGCATAGGTAAGGTTTTGACATCAAATATATGGCTTATATTAACCAACCCTGACAGTTTGACCAATAGACTTTTGGATTGAATCATTTTGTCAACCTACAGGTATGAACTAAGGCATGGTGGAATTAGTTGCGATGAAGTGGGTGTTGTTCAGAAGTGTGTTTTTAAAGTAAGTTGACTATGTTTCTTAGGAGTCTATACTGAGCCTTTCTTAAATTTGTGAAAGCCATCAATTAGAAAACTTAGTTTGTTTTAATTGAAATATTTTTGCCGAAGATGTTTTGATTTACAAAAGTACCATTTTCCTGAAAAGCATGTATGACTATGTACAAAGAGTAACATGAGCAATATTTATTACATTCAGTACAGATCTGTACAACTGTGTATGCAGTCCACATCAAAGCAGAATACAAACTAAAACTTACTATGCAGGAGATTACAATCAAAGAAATAAAACAAGATGCCTTAGAATTAAAAATGGGGACTAAGGCTTCATTCACATGCAGTGTCTATTTTCTAAATTCCATTTTCTATTCGTGGTATGTCTTATGATCATGGTCTGTGCCCTGAATATCCCGCGGCGTAATTACTGGCAGCGCGAGCCAGTTACTATAAATTACTTTAAGTAACTNTTGTGACTTTCAAACTTGTGAAAGAGTGTGTAAACTCAGTAACATTTATATTACATGGGTGCAGTTAATATTATTAGCTGTTTAGGATTAATGATAGGGATTACATTTTAACATGTAAACATCTTGGTTAACTTGACTTCATGTTAGATGACTCATTTTGTACTATTCATTTTATGCCAGTTAGAATCAAGTGTATGACGGGAATAATATGAGATAGGCCAAAGTCTTGTTACTAAGTGTAAAGACAAGCTAGATTTCATGAGATTCTGAGAATGGAATCAGAAATGATGGCAGAAGAGTGAGTACTGTTTAAGTGCAATCTGTTGCACAACAGTGCAAATTCCTCATGCTACAGGTCACTTATAGCTAAACTAGAGGTCACTAATTGTAGCTATACTACATTCCACTTATAGCTATACTTGGGTTCACTTATAGCTACACTGCAGGTCACTTATAGCTAATAGTAACTCAAGCAAGGTAGTGATTTCTAGAAGGTAGAGATTTCTAAAAGAAGACACGCTTATATAACAGAGGTGCACAAATACTGAATTATGATTTTAAAGGGGGGGGGTGAGAACACATGATGAATGAGGCATCACCATATATAGGAACAGTTGCAAATTAAGTCATTTACAATTAAACTGTTATAACTGTTAATGTTTTACAATGAATTATTATAATTATGATAAAAATGCTGATGAGAAGCTATGAATTCACTTCAAAGTCACTTCAATTTTCTATGGTCATCCTGAACATGGAGATTGTTGTGTTCACTTGATATGTAGCAGCAAAGCAAATAGACTATTTATTTATGATTTTTTTTAGATTCACTTTGGACAAACTGGTGTATCTTAAAAAGAAATTGGGATTGCTTGTCATAAATGTTCAAACTTCTATGGATTGAAAATCTTATTTCACAATCAAAACATCAATATTGCTCACTGATTCATTTTTAGAATATTTAGTAAATGAATCTACAAGAAGAAAGAAAATGAAGAAAATAGAATTCACACAAAGTTATGGAGAACTCTAAATCTCAAGGTTTAATCTCTATAATTTTATTGATATACTAGTACATTATATTGAGAGAGGGTTCCATGGTAGCGCTATACAATATGGTATATATATCTTAAGTTAACATCTAAGGTTTACAGTGATATATTAGAAGTTGAAATTTTAAAAGCAGTCATTCTTTCAAAGCCTTGATGTGCACTTAAACTAGTAGGATTTATGTAAGTAAGTGCTTAGGGATCATTTTACACTGCATGTCTGAACAGTTTCATGTAATCATATTCACTAAAACTATTGATATCATTGTGCTGAAATCCCTTCCTCAGTATTGTTGCCTTTCTCAGAAACCCTTCACTCTCTTCTTTTATAAAAAGAACCTCCAATTAAGAACATTTATTGATCTTGATATACTGCTCTTGTCATGAATAACATTTGTAGAGATCAGTAAGAATTTGGCAAGGTAATTAAAAGATCATATGTTTGATTTGTGGAGATCAGTTTATTAAAAGTGTGAGCTATGACGGCAGTGCTATTTCTTTGTTAGCTTGGAAGTTTCAGCATATATTTAAGAAGAGACAGAATGTCAACCTTTTACTTTGGATCATTATTTAGTCATATGTATGGAAGAGCAAAGATGTATTTTAAGGAATACTGTTCTAGTGCACCTAAAATTTTGCCCTTTAGATTATGGACTGCAGATGGAAATAAAACTTACCAATCTTGTACTAGTAATTAGAATACTTTACAAAACATATGATACTAATGTTTTCCAGCTGTGATATAAAGTGCTGTACCATATTGTTCCATACCATGACAAATGGAGCCCTGTGGTTTCAGTTTATCTGTGTCACATGCTCGAACTTCACTTCACATTGTCTTGCACATGGAGGGCTTTTATCTAATAATACTGGTGTCTTATTTTACATGTGCTTGACAGACATCTTGCAGTGTTACAAAGAAGTTTCTTGGTATTTGATTTTGGTGTGGAGTATGACAATTCTAAGGGTTTATATAAGGGTCCACTATAATAAAGCAGGAATATATGCATAGGTAAGGTTTTGACATCAAATATATGGCTTATATTAACCAACCCTGACAGTTTGACCAACAGACTTTTGGATTGGATCATTTTGTCAACCTACAGGTATGAACTAAGGCATGGTGGAATTAGTTGCGACGAAGTGGGTGTTGTTCAGAAGTGTGTTTTTAAAGTAAGTTGACTATGTTTCTTAGGAGCCTATACTGAGTCTTTCTTAAATTTGTGAAAGCCATCAATTAGAAAACTTAGTTTGTTTTAATTGAAATATTTTTGCCGAAGGTGTTTTGATTTACAAAAGTACCATTTTCCCGAAAAGCATGTATGACTATGTACAAAGAGTAACATGAGCAATATTTATTACATTCAGTACAGATCTGTACAACTGTGTATGCAGTCCACATCAAAGCAGAATACAAACTAAAACTTACTATGCAGGAGATTACAATCAAAGAAATAAAACAAGATGCCTTAGAATTAAAAATGGGGACTAAAGTACTGAACATTTTCGCAAGATGATACCACTGTGTAATCAGGGGAATGGGGCTACTACAGGTGCTCACTTGTGCAAGGTTAATTACTTAATTTGAATTAAATCGGTGTAGTAAATAAGTGCACCATACTTGTAAAGATTCACTTCTTGCCTGCTCTTCATCTTGTTTAAGTAAGCAGTTAAAGAAGTGCACAAGTCAAAATAAAGTTTATGGTATATTAATATGATTCCTTATTTTCATGTCATTTGATATAGCTTTATCATTATGTAGCAATAAAACATTCCATAAGGGGTTTCTTAAGGTTTTTTCATGCAGCATGCATCTAGTTTGTATCTCTGAACTGAACTGAATGGCCAAAACTCGAAGCTCATTAATTTTGATTGCATATGAGTTGATTGGTAAATAGCATGTTGTTCATACAATAAGACTCTTGATTTGTTAGTCATGGGCAGCACCTGGGATCAGTAAGTTTATTGCAATCAAGACATAGTTGCTTTGGATCCTGTCCCTGTTCAAAACCTAGTGCAGAACTAATTGAATCAGGCCTGATGTGACTCTGGTCTGATGGTGATTAAAAAGATGATTTAGTATATGTGGGAACCTAATGTGAATAATAAATGTGAAAATTGAAATAATAAATGTGAAAAATGGAGATAGATATGTTTGTCAAGCAAAGCACATGGGGTGAAACCTTTGTTAGTAAAGGTCTTCGGTAAGATAAGATGACAATTTGCTTCATACATCCTGAAGTGAAAATCTATGCCCTTTATCTCTTTCATAATAAGGAGGGCTAGTTGCTCAAGTTTCATAAATGCCATTAAGTGATGTGAATTCATCATTGATGGTATCAAGTGTTCAGATGCAGACAGTCTGTCAGTGTGCAGGAATAGTTATATATTTTATGGGCACATCTTTAAAGCTGCTCAATAATTCTGATCCCTGTTAATCACCGTGGCTTGCTTTTGCATTTATATATCATAATTGATAAACTGTTCAAAATTTTCATCCATTTCAGGCTGACAGAATATGACTGATCTTCAAGCTTCCTTGGAGTTTTCAGTGGAACTGACCAAGTTCTATAATGTGGACTTGTTTCAGAGAGGGTAGGTAACATTTAAAGTGAATAACAAACAAGTTGATGTCTATAATATTGGTAAACATGGCTTGTAAAGAGCTGAAGGGTATACAGTTGAAGAACATCAAGTATTGATCACTTGTGTATGGTTGTCATGGTAAGGAAAGTGTTCATATAGAGTAATCACTATAAATATAATATGTGTTAGAGGTGGGAGCTCTGTGTGAATGTGGGTTATGCTTTAATGTCATATGCTGATTACCCACACAAACCGAATGTTCTGTTCTTTACAGAATCCGTTTGTGTGTTCACCTTATCTTTTGTATAGGAAAACATACTTAAAGACTCCATGTTGATAGAGTACACTGTGTTTACAGAAATTTCGAAATATTTTGTTTTAGCCCAAAGGTATAAAAAGTATTTTCAACTCTCTTTCTCCTTTGCCTGATTATTCCCCTTAATAAGAGCGTTAAAAAGTGCAGATATTTGTATCAATATATCAGAGGAGTGCCATGCAGTGAAGCACACCAATTATGGCTGCCGCTGTGGCTGAGGGTTAGCATCAAAAAGGTTTTGAGTTTCTTTTGCTGGAGAAGAGTGTACCATTTAATTCACCAATTGATACAGTGACCACAGCTTAAGGAAAGCTTCATTGTATTCAGTAACTCCTGATTGCATGTGCAGCACAAATGTTATTGCAATATAAAGATTTGATTTCCTTGCCAATGCTTCATAGAACATAATTCTATTTGGATAGTAGAAAGGTTGCTAAGCAATCTAGCAATAAGTTCAAGAAGTTCTTCTTTAGATTGACATTGGTCGCCTTAACCTGCTCACTTTTTTATTGATATTTCTAATTTGATCTGTTATGATCATGGTTTCTCAGATTGCAGTACCTAGTTATTGATCTGGCTTGGTGAACAGTAGATTGTGAACTTTGTAAATATGTGATGTCATTTTGGTGCTGTAAAACTGTGTGGGGCATGTATTTGAAGCCTGAAATCTAGTTCATTCCCTGCTAAGTTGAATTATGAAGCCCCGAGAGACCCACTTAACATATGTCATGTGTTAAATCTAATATAATATTTTGATATAAACCAGAAATATTTATGAATGAAGTTTGGAGGTATGCAACTGGAAGTTATAATTATTTTGTCTTGCCCAAGACAGAATGGTACACCAAAATCTGACTTACAGTATGGTTGGAGAATAAAGATTATAAACCAGATTTTAGGTGGTATAGGAATGGTTTCCAACAGTTTTATTAATGTAGATATAAAGGAGATACAACTTTCACCTCTTCATTGTTGTTGGTTAATTTTAGAAAGTGTGAATTGTCATCAGTTTAGATCAGTATTTGATATATTAATGTTTGGATCAAGGTGGTATCCACCTCAGTTTTTTTTTATCAATTAAAAAACAANTTTTTTTTTTTTTTATCAATTAAAAAACAATCATTGCAGCTTCATTTTATTTTGCTTATATGTATTTGATGTGTAATTTGTGTTCTGAGAATCAAATAGCAGTTTCTTTTATTTTAGGTACTATCAAGTAAGAGCATATCTCAAAGTTCCACCCAAATCTCCCATCAGAGTTGAGCTAAAGGCACCAAGAGGACATGGTATTTGGACTGTCTTTTGCTGAATGAATATTTTTTTAATAGTTAACTAAACACTTGATCAGTCAAAATGGGTTTTGAATTTCCAGTATGAAATATCATGTTGTAGAGTACACAATTTTTGACATTTTTTTAATTTAAAGCGGTTTACTTTCATACTTTTTGCTTGGTAGTTTGTCAATGTCACATAATTTGAGCATTTTTCAGTTATCAGTCTACCTTACAAAAAATATCTACTCATACATTGTTATAATCGAGTAGAGGCATCTGCCTTCTTTACTCTTCTAGGCAGCAACTTGAATTCCAGGAGATTGTAAACATAGATCAAAGCTATATATTTCATATATCCGCTAATATTTGGTAGTTTTGGATGATGCTGATATGCTTCTGTGTTTTCATTTCTGTCTAGAACTGACAGCGGCATCCAGTGACTCCTGCTTATTGCCTGCATCATGCACTAATGGAGTTGCCAAAAGTAAGGTGTTCCAGATTCTGTACAGAAATGAGGATATCACACTCAATGATGCTTTCCTGTTCAAAGTCAACATGCTGGCTGACAGCAATAAGGTAGGACACTGGACCTTCTTCAGTTATTCACAATATTTTCTGAAAAATTTGTTAATCATAATTCAAATTGTTTATTGTTAAGAATCTGATTGGTGTTGAACACATAAAATAATAGTTACACTTTAATGACGGGCATAATTTTGTTTTGAGTAAAGAATTTTACATTGTATAGTAATATGACCTTAAAAAAAATATTGCATTAGATATTTCCATGAAATATTTATTGTAAATGTGGGCTGTTTGGTTGGAGCTCTAATTTAAGAATAAATATGTTCCATATTGTATTTATAGATCTAGATTATGGTCTTGGCTTATTGGTTCAGATCTTCAGATGCCATGATTTAATTGAAATACAATTGTTTATTGAAAACCCTTGGTTTCCAAAGCTCCGAATCTGAATCTCTTTGTTAAGAATGCAGAACATAGTTGCTCTAGCGCTCACATTTTTTGAGAATTAAGTAGAAATTAGCTATTTCTACTCTATATAGACTTTTGAAATGCTTGTTTATATCAGTTCTGGCACTCCCTGAACATGCATTAAGTGTGGTATATACACCATTATTAGGCTGATTTCCCATCCTGTAGTGCTAACTGCATGGTTGGGATACATAGTGCCCAAGCCTCAATCAATAGTCATTTTCCCCTGGCTCAGATTTATTGAACCAGATTCTCTGGAGACAGTTTACTGTCAAAATCTGTCACCTCTAAGCATTAAATGTGATTTTAAAGTGTTCGTGCCCAAGAAATAATACTTCTCTCAAGACAGTGTTATATATCATGAAGATAATAGGAGCATGCATCATGAAGATAATATATATCTGACTTTGATATTAAAGTGTATGTAATCTTTTATATACTTTTTGACAACCTTACTCTAAGTACCTGTAATTTTTTAAATATTTGATTGTAAGATTGAATGGTCATATTATTTTCGTTATTCAGATTGAAGAGGCAATTAACAAGACTGATCTTCAATTAGGAGTAGATTTGTACTTCACAGATGAAGAGTTTGGGTAAGTGATCATTGAACTATGTTGGTTTATTTTCCTATTACAAGTTAGAAGTTAGTAGGCTGTCTTCTATAATTACTTGTGCAACCAAAATGATAGGTGAGCACCTTCTTTGCAACAAAACAGTAATAGATGAAAAATGGACTACCAGATTTATGTTTTAAGTGGAGCAGAGAGGGCAGGTAAAGCCATTAGGTAAAATGTATGTGAAAACAGATTTTACTGCACCTCTTGCCCAACTCCGACTTTATTTTCAAGGTTATCTAATTGTGTTGGCACCTTATGTTTTATTGCACCCCTAGTGGCAAAATTGTCCATTGAAGGTGTAAAGCACTTCCTTTATTTTTCGGAACAGCTCTACAAACTAGTTGAATTAGAAATAACATTACATCATCTTGCAGAACATGGTGCATGTATTGACAATGCACATTTTACCTCTGCAACACTATGACATCATCCTGGATTTAAATTTCATGATTGCCCAACCTTCTCTCTTTTCTTGAAAGAAAAAAATGGTAACTAAGTAGAGGGCAAAATAGATTTTACCACATCTAGCCAAGTAAGGTTAAAGCAAGAAATAACAAAATTACAAGCGGCTTAAAGCTTTTAATTTGAATTTATTGCAAGGCTGATGCGCGTTGTTCTTTGTTAAGGTTCAGGTCTGCTGTCCTGCATTTTTTTTATTTCACTGTGGTTTTACAGGTTCAGAGGCAAACAAAAATTATTAGATAAAGTGAAAAAGAAAATGTTTAGTACCATATGTCAAGTTGAATAGACTTTTTATGTAGATGAACATACGTGGATCTTTTGAATACAGCATTATCCCAACATGGGAGTGTAGCATGATGAAAAAAATGAAATATCCACCTAATAAGACTTTTCTGTCCTTTTTTAATTTAGCTCAGATGAACAAGACAAGTTACAATGTGTCAGTCAGCGGAGCCTCAAGTTACATTTTGAATCAGCCAAAGGCATTCACCACCATGTTCCTGTGCTGTTTGATTACTTTCACCTGGCAGCTGTGTGTGTCACTGTGCATGCAACACTGGTGGCTCTGCACCAGCCATATGTCAGGTATGGATATATTTGTATGTGTGCACATGTGTGTGTGTGTGTGTGTGTGTATGAGAGAGAGAAAGAATTATGGAAAATGCAGAGTTGGTGAGGTAACAAGTTCCATTTGGACATCTGAACTTTGTATCACAAGTCATATTTGCAATTGATTCATTTTAATTTTTGATTAAGGAATTTTTTTTTTCTTTTAACGTGCATGAAATGTTGGATATAGATTTATAACAGAAAAAAAAACATAAATCAGATAGTTATTATCTGCAGACAATTCTAATAAGCATGGAATTCTACTTTGGAAGACACTTGGTATTTGTAATTATGCATATTTTCGTCTGAATATTTTGTTTTTATAAACATTATCAGATCTACTTTATTTTGAAAAGAGTAATGCAATATGCATGTTTCATTTTGGAAGTTGTTTAATTTTTGTTCTACCATCAAGGTAGCCAATTGTGAATATAAGATATGATAACCTTTATTTCTGGACCTACACTGCAGTGAAATTGTTATATATTTATTCCTGCTAGCAAAGGGAAAGTGCAGGATGAGGGGTAACCATTTTATTTTTCTGATTCGGATTGTTCCTTTCTGTATTTAATCACTTTCTGTATTTAAGCATGGTCCTATGCTTAAATGGTTTGTTTGGTACTTCCAGTATTCTTATATGTATGTTCTAGTTTTAATCTCTCCATGGTAGCCAAAGCCATTACTCACAAATACATTACTCACATTCATGAAAACTGATTTATTTCAAAACAGGTCTCTTGATTGTATATTAATCTACATTTATTGTTCCTGTGAGTAATGCAGTCTGTGTCTAGGGGCAATTTTCTTGTTTATGATGATTAAGTTGTCTTTTTTTTTAGTAAGATTTTGATTGTATTGATTTTACTAGTTTACGTGTTTATAGCTTGCAAAAAAGGTTTCTGTTTCAAATTCCAGTTCTGTTCTGAAATCACAAGAAATTGTGCTTTATGGTGTGGATATATGTTGCAGCTGGTTGAAATGCTTTTTAAGGCTTCCTCAATTTCTGTTCAATTTGCTGTTATCTGATCAATTAAAATTTGGTCCATTAGTTTACCACCAATTTATGGCAAGTACAGATAAACTACCATCAGCGTGGAGGAAAGACTATTTAGATCTGGTTCATTAAGCTATGTCTGGAGATGGGTTTGCCAGGGTACTGTAAAGAAAAATAACTGGTTGTGAGGCTACGTTATAGTTTTTACATTTTTTAATTTTTTAAATGGATTAATGAATGTTTTTGTTGATCTTTTTGGTTTCATCTTCTTTGAAGAAAATTTAAAGTCCCATGTATGGTGTTTAGTAATAATATTTTAGTCACTTGAAAAGAATATAACATCAGTAATACATTCTATGGAAAGTGAATAATATTTCATGTTTTTCCAAGCCACATTTATTTTAAACTGTAAGGACACTCTTATTAACCTTTTGTTTCACAGGCCTGCTGAAAAAGAATTAATAAATGAAGAATAAAATGGAAATTCCTCAGACACTTTATTCTTGCTGTCAGGGAACTGTTTTTGTTTTCACAATACCATAAACACATTATGTTGATTAAAGGCTAATGACAAACATCTGTCCCTCTATATGGTTAGCCTAAATCATGCCTGACACACTGCTTGACCTTCCATGGTTTATATTCATTCCAACTTATGACATTGCAGTCTCAGTAATTAGAAATGGATGACATTAAATCCATATACACAAATAGTTAATGTAAAACATCTCCAAAAAATGGATGGCATTAAGTCTATATATACTAATAGTTAATGTAATACATCTTCAAGAAAAGGCAAATCTGTAAAAGGTCATGTTGCTTTATGATCCAATACTTGTCACTAAAATCACTAGTTTGTGTGCTTAGAAAAGGGATCATGCAAGTTTTCCATTTCTGTTTTCTGCAGCCCACGTCAACCACGGTCTCAATGGCTGAGTAAGACTGCTGACCAGTCCACCCTGGAGAGTGTACTCTTTGGAAACAGGCCGACTGCAACTCCAGTAAGTCACACAATAATATGATTAAGAATTATAGGATTTTATTTGCATCAAGTATTTTTTAACTGTTGTAGCCCCTGGCACTTTCTCAAATCAGATGTAAGAAAATAAATTGTATTTAGATCAAGTGATTAAGTCAGTGTTTTGATCGAAGCAAATGGTCTGATTAAATGTTAAAAATAACATACCATTGATAAGAATGGATCTTTTATATGCTCTAATGCATTTCATTGATACAAAATCTTGTATCCAGCCAGGTCAGTCCTGTCTTCCATAGAATGGCAATAAATCTAAGAAAATGTTGTAGGCTAGACAGGAGATAAATAGTTTTTCTACAATTGTTCATTTATCATTTTTATTATCTCAGTTATATTATAACTGCACAAAAGCATTCATACTCCGCTATCATAATTATCTCAGATAATTATTGCCTGAAAAATATAGCATGCCACATTTGTAGAATAATTGGACTCGGTATTTATAGGGAAACAAATATGAAGTAAGTCCTCGTTTGCGGCATGGCCACAGGATGCACAGGGAGATCTGCAGCGTGTTACTGTCAGCCTACGAGAGCCTACAGAAGTCAGCAGAGGACCTGATGAGAGTTATACCAGAACATCAGCAGCTGAAATTAGGTGGGGCTTTGTACTCAGGAAATTAATTCTAGCTCATGAATGTACTTTTAATCTAGAAGGTTAAAGGTCAAGTGATATCTTTGGTTGTTAGTCTGTATTTTATTTTTAAAAAGTTGAAAATTTTGACTTCACTAAACAGACAATTTTGGTTTACTTATGGATATATCTGAGAGAAATGTCTGAAATAAAGTATTGGTCTGTGGTATAAGCCATTGCTTACTTGTTGTAGAACAGTCCCAAGATCCACATTTGGATAAACTGTGAATAATTATTGCAAGATTTCCAGTGTTTCAGTTATATTTTGTTAAACTATCCCCTTTAACAGAAGAGAGAGAGTGATGAGCATTTCAATTAATTGGGCATAAATCTATTAAGATTATTTTACACCTGTAGTCCTTTCAGAGAGGGGGTTGCCAGGATATTGCTTTTGAGCCAAGTTCAGTCATTATGCTACAATGTATTTATATACACTTGTTTTATTGGAAATTACAACATGAATTACACAGTGTGTCATATTTATAGATCAGTTGACTCTCATCACCTCATTAGTTATTGGACATCAAAAGGTGGCTTTAACTTTGTATCACTAGTTCACTAATTGGTTTGTGGTAAAGACAATGCCAGTGAAAATACTACTGTTGAGCTGACTTAGTTCTATTAAATCAGTGTTACTGGTTTGCTCTTTATTAAGTCTATTGTTCATTTTTTCAGAACATATAGATTGCCATGCCAAACTAGAGCGTCTGTGTGAGATGCTGCAGGCAAGTATAACAGATAGCAGCATATGTATTTATGCTGTAGGGCCCCTCATGTTGTGGTATAAATCTTGTATAAATCTTGAATCCTATGTTGAAATAATGATGAGAGAATGGTCAAGGGAAAGCATTCTAGTCTGTTTATTAGACATGCAAGTGATAATTGAATCACTACTTAGCAAAATCAGAATCTCACATTACCACCTTAGGGCCACCTGGGCTTGGGTTCTGTGCTAATTAGTTGATTGAGTTGTGATGAATACTGTAACATTGGCAATCCATTAGAAATCTTTCCATTCAGGAGTTTGGAAACGAAGATGACTTCCTGCAGACAGCCACTACAAACATCATTCAGGTGTGCGCGGAGAACGTGCTGCTGTGGACGCAGTACCTGGAGATCTTCACCATGAATGAGAAGGTCACCGAGAAGTTAGCAAGAGAACACCACACAGTGAGGGTATGGTCAGCATGCTCTGTGTAGTGGTGTATTTTAGATTGAATTGACTGGAAATATTACAAAAACATTACCCTGTTATATATGGGTTGTATAATTTAGTATTAATTTGAATTGGGTATGAAATTTTAAATTGTGTAGGCAAACCTAAGTGTTATTTTTTGTTAGTGTGCAATGCTATGTGTGACTGGTGTGTATACAGTACAATATTGAGAATGAAATTAGAAAGTAACAATTTTTCCTTTTATTACAGGTTAAAAGATTTGCAGAGGGTTTTTTCACTTTAGAGAGCCAGAAGCATGAAGTTCTGGCATGCTATGAACCAAGGTTGGTTACAGAATACCTTACTGTTTTTCCATCATTTTATATAATAGAACACTATGCTGTGTTGGTAATTCTCTATTTATCCGCTTAAACATGTATTCGGCAAATGTATTTTATATTTTAGCTAAATTTGGTTAAAAGTGTATGTTTGTACGTATGAGTAAATTATATAATCTTGTGTATGAAATATAAAGGTATAAAGTGAAATTTTACAACCATCATTCCCTATTCTTATTCAATTGTAAATGTTATCTTCCAGCATTCATGGACATTCAGACTTGGTGGCCCTTGTGAAATCTTCCCAGTACTTCTTGAATCTCCCTCCACTGCCAGTAGAGTGCCAGGAGCTGGATGGCGATGCTTTAACTATGCCAATCATATTTGAAGATATTTATACAGATATACAATCAGAAAGTAAGATAAATATGGACCCAAGCATGTCCATGATGTCAAAGTCATCTCTAGAGCTGCTACTTAAGATAGATGTCAAAATACCAGTGATTTTGGGATCAAAACTGATGTCTGCAAGCACATTTGTGTGCAATATACAATATCAATTACTGTGTATTTTGTACTTAAATTATACTGAATTCTGTTTCTGAAAATGAATATTTTTCTGTAACAATGATGTAACCATGATCTTCGTCCCAAAATGTAGTGATGTCTTGAATTTCCTTTTCCTTCCTGCAGGTATAACAGTTTTTACAGATGTGGATGACATTGATGTAAACATGGAGTCCAAAAGAGATGAAGGCAAAGCCATTAAAAGGAAGGACAGTACCAAGTCTGGAGACTCGGGCTCTACTCAGAGTGTACAGAGTGGGGATTCTGCCTCCAGCCCCCAAGCCAAACTACGACCAAAATCACGATTCATCAAGAATATCAAGCCCGGTGCTTTCAAGAGACCTTCATCTTATTATTCCTGTCAGGAGGCACAAGTGGTGCAGACACAGACCCCGGCCCCTCAGAGAGACTGTTCCTTGATAGGGTATAGGAAAGTAGATACTCACAGTTCCCCGGTGATAGAACTTGGCACCTTGAGTCCTGCGCCAGGCTCGCCAGCTCTGCCTGCTCACCAGGGGGCTCTGATGGATGGCTCCTGGATAGGCTCCAGTTCCCTGCCTGATCTCACTGAGGGCTTACACACACAAGACCACCTGAATGACTCGCTAGGGCGGAGTGCCAGTTTGGAGGGCTCAAATCCCAGACGCCAAAGAACAAAGAGCCCTCGAACTGACCCTGTAGATCTACCTCCCTACAATGTGAAATCTAACTTGATCTCAGATCACCAGTCTGATGATTCTTCTGATGACAAGATTGACAGGACAGACCCAGTGAATATTAATGGACTGATTGGGGATGACCTGTCCAGAGATAGCAGCAGTCCAGAAGATAGCAGGATAAGTCATACAGACAGCCATCAGACTAGTGAAAAACACAAACTGACTAAAGAAGATCTGGATATATTAGCAGACAGTTTGACTAAAGCACTTGGCGAGGAAGAGTTACAAGATATACCACATATTAGGAAGGATGGAATGCAGACTTTACCCAAAGATGTAACTGATTCTGCCATCCAAGGGTTGGCCAAGTTTGCCCAGGATCACCCTGGTGGTGACCTGCATGCTAAGGTCAAAGATGGAGCCAGCAAAGATGCTGAACCTCCTGGCAAGGAATTGTCCACAGCTGTGCTAGCGGACAACACTTACATGACACAAAAATGTACTGTGATGGAACTCTTGAAAGAGGAGTATTCAAAATCTCATCTAGAGAGCAAAGAATCTGTAGCAGACTCTGGTGTAGCGTCCAGCAGTGGTGGTGCCTTGACCTCTTCTGCTGGGAGTCTGAACCAGCTCTCAGCTGGCTCTTCAGTCTCCAGTACTGCACTGATATCTGGTGTAGACAGCTGCACTGATCTCAGCCAGCAACCTGCTGCTCAAGTGGCGACATCTAGTGGACATCTGATTCATGCACAAAGCAGTAGTGACATTCCTGATGCTTTCCCACATAGTACACGCAAATCTCTAAGTGCATCGAAATCCTCACCTGAGCTGTGGAAGCTGGATGAAGAAAGTCCACAAAGGTCTAAAAAACTGGTTGCAGTTGTACCTGATTCTACTATAAAGTAAGAAGAGAAATGCTTGGATATTAACAATTCTTTAAATGTTCTTGTGCAATGTTCATTTAAAAGGATGTAGCTTTTTGTAATAAAATCTTCAATTTTTTCTTTCTTTGAATATCGGTTGATTTAGCCAAGATATTTGAAAAATTTATATGCATATTTTTTCTTTTAATTTTAGTTTTATTACTGCAAAGGAAGAGCTGAGGAAACAGCTGAGATATAGTGGGCTACTGTACAGGTATTGTGATTACATGGGAGTATTTGTAATTTGGTTTTTTCCTGGTGTCCATTCAGTTTGTTTTGGTTTTCAAGATTGTTCTTTTCATAATTATATTTGATTTACTTAATAAATAGGAATTTGGCAAAAAGTAAAAAATGGTAGAGTGGATTTGTAGTAGTTGACTTAATGATGGAAGCTGGATTTTATTTGTTTGACTTTCTGTTTACAGTGACTTTCCAACTCAGGCATCCACCAATCCTTACTTTTATGAGACAGATGAGTCTACTGACACTGGGCTACATTTGATCATTTGTGTACATGGCTTAGATGGTAAGCTATTTTTTCAGTACACCATCAGAACACTTGGATAACAGATAAAAGATGTCCTTCAAATTCATTCCTGTCCATATATTTATTTTTCTGTTGGTCTTGACACTCACAACACACTTACTCTGCCTTGTCTGAATTTTTTTCATATATTTATTAATATTTGACCTAAATTATCAAAACATGTAATATAACAGATTTTTTGCATTATAACCTAGATGTGTCTGATATCTGAATATATGTAGCAGCTCACACTAGTGGCAATGGTTGTGTATTTGATGTTCTAGGCAACAGTGCAGACCTGCGTCTGGTGAGGACATACCTGGAGATGGCCCTGCCTGGAGCACGGCTGGACTTCCTGATGTCAGAGAGAAATCAGGTAGGATATGTGAATTGGTGGATTAGTTTTTAAAAAGTTATATAGTTGTTAAGTTTTTATTTATAAGTTTTCCATGAAAACGGCAATTTATAGCATTTGTGTCATTTAGAATCTGTGTGATATTGAAATATGCTGCTTGGAACTGTGTCAAAAAAAAATTGAAGAAATAAATTTTTCTTGTTCTTTCCTTAAAATTTCTCCTACCAGTTGCTAGTTGCTAGAAAACTCATTGTTATAAACATGAACATACAGGAACCATACAAGTATTATATCGCACATTTATCTCCCAGTAATCTCCTCTTCCAGCCTGACACATTTGCTGATTTTGAGGTGATGACAGACAGGTTGGTCCAGGAGATCCTCTACTACCTGCAGATGTTCTCTATTAACCCAAAGAGAATCAGGTAAGTTGATGAGGGGATTTGGCAATGATTAACAAACAAATATTGAAAAAGATTAATATTAGTTTAGTGATGGGGTGATGTACTGAAATTTTTCATATTCATTGGGCATAAGTAATTTTATGTTGTTTATAGTACTTCAGATTATGATTATATAACTTTGTGGTCATATAATAACCACAAATAAGACCATTAACTGATAGTAGCTGGCAATATATCTACAACTTATTTCTGGTAAAAAGCAATGAAGTGTATATCAAGACGTGTATCAAGTTTTTTCCATTGATTTCAGTTTTGTTGGTCATTCTCTGGGTAACCTGATCATTCGGTCAGCACTGTCACGTCCTGAGCTTAGCCATCTTCTGCCCAAGCTACACACCTTACTGTCCTTGTCAGGGCCACACCTGGGCTCACTATATGGCAATAGTGGACTGGTTAATATGGGTGGGTAGAACAGAGCTATGCCATCACCATGCCCTGCAGGTTGTTGTACTGCAGCCAGTTTCACTGTTACAGTATAATTTGGGGCTGGAAGTTTTAGTTTTAGACTGAAAATTTTGGTGTACTTCAGTTATGGATAAATCTTCATTTGCACATATAAGAAAGGAACTAAAACAATCCATCTTTCTTTTATAAAATGTATTTCATTTAAGTGCGAAGCTACTGATTTCAAAATAGATCTAAGAATGAAGACCAACTTTTGTGGTAAAATTATTTTGTAAAATCTCACTTGCATCTAAAAATAGTGTTGACTCAAACAGAAAGGGTGGGAGTGACAGTAAATATTTATTTCCATCCTGAGTTTGCTGCTATGCCAGCCTTGCACATAGAGGCTTGCTACTGCCGCTTTGCCAGCATGACTCACCACTGAGATTATTCATTGTTATTGACCTAGGTATGTGGTTTATGCAGAAGCTGAAGAAGTCTGGCTCTTTGCTCCAGTTGGCATTAAAAGATCACAGTGATATCAGGCAGACCTTCCTCTACAAGCTTAGCAAAAAACCAGGTAAGACTATATTTAAATACTGAGTAAAAACCAGGTTAGACAACTTTTACAAGCTTTGTAAAGATAAATAAATAAGTATTATTCTACCTTTATAGGGATCACTTGGCTGATTCAACTCTAAGATCATGGAGGAGATAAGCATTATCAAGTCTTAATTATTAGATTTAAGCTGTACTTTTGAATTATTTGGACATGTACTGGCTTAAGCTGTGTACTAATGCATCCTATTAAAAGTTTCCTGTTCTTTGTAGGGTTGCAGTACTTCAAGAATGTGTTGCTGGTGGGTTCCTTACAGGATCGCTATGTTCCCTACCACTCCTCACGTATAGAACTGTGCAAACCCGCTGTCAGAGATAGTTCTGTATATGGTAAATACATTATTGTTCTCTTCTTTATTTGGTAAATGTATTATTGACAGTTTTATATAGGTTAAATACATTATTGATCAGTTATAAATATATGTTAGGTACAGGCCAGGCAAGTTAATATTTCAGTTTTAATATGCATGTTCAGTAGATAGCCTTGTCTTGAAGGACTGGCTATCATGTACATGTCATTCATAATTAACACTTGAATCAGTGACAACAGATGGAGATTATTACATAGCTGTTGGTTTTTCAAAGGTTACCAGTAGGGAATGAATAGAAATGAATAATATTTGACATAGATATGATGAGACAATTTAAAAATGGCAAAGAAAGGAAAAAAGTTTTTAAAAAAAAGGTAAAAAGAATGACAAAGATCCTTGGCTAATTTACAAATCAGCATTATTTTCAACAATCACAACATAATCTTTTTTCATTCATTCAGGTGCAATCTACACAGAGATGGTGAACAACCTCCTGGCACCTGTGGTCAACACGCCCAATACTCGCATCATCCGCTACGACGTCTACCACGCCCTGCCCAGCACAGCTAACACACTGATTGGAAGGGCCGCGCATATTGCTGTGCTAGACTCAGAAATCTTCATAGAGAAGTTCATCACTGGAGCAGCTCTGAAGTACTTGAAATGAACTCCTGGCCACAACTGGGTGGATGCGAGGCTTTCACATAAACTGGACATTACAGCTCAATGTTAGATAACAGGTTGTAGATGTAACAGCTGTGAGAAGACGCGAATGTGGTATTGTACATTAGAAACTCCCTGTGTTTTAACTTCTTGGGTTGTGTTGACATTACCTCATTAGCATGCACTGATAACCTGTATTGTTACTAATAATAATGGTAGCAAGCACAATAGCTTATTTATAATTTATTTTAAATTAACTTTTTGAGAACAAAATCATATTTTCTGACAAAACGTTTATATCATTTTGAGTTAAGCTTTTTCACAGCATATTGGCTATCAACATAGTTATTGTAGATTGCAACTATCTTTTGGAGAAAAAAAAAGTGGCCTTATTGTTACATCATCATAGTCTTTCACAGAATGATGTCCATCAGAACACTGACATTATACAACATTGTGTATATATCATCTTTAAAGTAAGTTTTGAAGGGTATTGCTCAGGTGATTCTGTTCTACTGGATGTATTAAATGTAGAACACATTGTTTGAAGTGATGTTAAATATATATTTTTGCAGCACAAAATGCAAGCTAGCCTTGTAGCCTTTGTTGAAGCATAAGGTGATCAAAAAAAGAGGTTTGCTCGTTAGTTATGCATTTTAGGAATAGACGTATTCTTAATCACTGCCTTCAAATGATTACAATTACTAGATTGTTAATAATTATCATCTAAATCAAAACTATATGTCTATGTAATTGATAAGAGAAGCACACAGTGAAAATGTTTTTGATAACTTTTTTCACCTCTTCTGAAGAATTCTGAAATGTTTTTCTTACTAATGTAACATATGTATATTATTTTCAGATTTTTTTTACTTTCATCCCATTTGTATTGTGTGATTCTACTCTTTCATTATGGCCATTAATGACCAAAATCCTGTGAACTGTTACCATATCTCACAACCTGGTGAGGTCACCCTGGATGCGGGCTGTATCTCACCAGCTGGTTGAGGTCACCTGGATGGGGGCTGTATTTCACCACCTGGTTGAGGTCACCCTGGATGGGGGCTGTTTTTCACCACCTGGTTGAGGTCACCCTGGATGGGGGCTGTATTTCACCACCTGGTTGAGGTCACCTGGATGGGGGCTGTATTTCACCACCTGGTTGAAGTCACCCTGGATGGGGGCTGTATTTCACCACCTGGTTGAAGTCACCCTGGATGGGGCTGTATCTCAACACTTGGTTGAGGTCGCCCTGGATGGGGCTGTATTTCACCACCTGGTTGAGGTCACCCTGGATGGGGCTGTATCTCAACACTTGGTTGAAGTCACCCTGGATGGGGGCAACAGCTGTGATGATCAATTTACAGTCTTTGTGTTGTTTTATGTAATTAATTTGACAATAAGTGAAATCCTTTTTAAATTTGTTTGTGGTGTAAGAATAATGCTTTTATTTTTTTTTGTATATATTTATATATGTATCATCAAAATTTTTGTTTAGTTGCCTCCCCATTCCATGAATCCAAACTTGCCTTTTTATACAGGTGTTGAAAAGAAAAATCAAACTTTGTAGTATTAACTTTTATACTTATTTATTTATCTTATTTGGATAGACTGAAGATTAACTGGAAGGCTGTGGTATTGTTTGTTTTTCGTGCTACAATCACCGTACTACAAAGATGTCTGTTACTGTTGTGTGAAACTTTTAATATCCTCTCTGCAGTCTTTGTGCTTGTGCAATTTTTGCCACATGTAATCATGTCTTATTTGAAAGATGGCTTGCTGTGTAAATATGGCAGGCTTGTCACCATGTAAAGAAGACTATGAAGTAGTTTGTACCAAGTCTAACTTATTGAATAAAGATTGTATTTACAGTAAAATCATACTTTATTGTTACTTAGATCAAACGTGTACTGACATTACAACATGCTTTCTTTTTTATTCTCTTTTATTGAGTATTTTAGTTACTTATAAAGACAGTAGTAATAATAATAATAATATTAATAATAAAATGATGTTTATTCAATCTAATATGTATTATAAGATATTTTGCCATTGCAAAAAGAGAATAAAAGAAGTATAATAGATAAAAACTTAAGGTATTAAGAGAAGTGTACGTTTGCAGGTAAAAATAGGTTCGGCAGATTAATAAAAAACTAATTACAAGTATCTTCCTTCCCCTGTAAGTCCGCAGTCTTTTATTGCAGGGTAAAATATAAATAATGTTTGACTGTCTGAAGCAATATGCAAACAGCTTACTATTCTGTAGGCCCTATGGACGGCAAAGATGGTTTGGATACTATTTCTTTTTAAGGTGGTCAAATGCGTGAGTTGGACCAGAAATGAGGTTTCAAAGAAGGCTTACTTTGGTGTTATATTCCAAAACCTGCCATGTACGAAAGAGTACTCTGTGACAGTGTTTAGTTCCCATTAATTGATAAGGGTAAGCACCGTCCTCAATTTTTACCAACTCACGTCACGCCAACCCTAACCTGCATGAATCTAATAGAAGGCGGACCCTAACCTAGACTACCACATGGACAGTAGAAGTTGACAGTCCACGCACTAAAAACAGCTGTGACGCCAAACCCAACTCGGGGGTATCCGTAACCTAGTGGGTGCTGAGGCATAGTGTGCTTTACCGATCAGTAAAGAAGACGATGAATTTTGTGACACTTCCTGCAGGTCAAAAGAATGTAACGTCAGTTCTTTCGAATATGTTAAACTGACATCGGTTTCTGTGAAAAATAATAACAAATCTCGGTCCTTTACAAGTCATACGAAGCCAAAGGAACGTCTCATTACCATCAAGCTAATCATTACATCCGCCTATTTATACACATACACACACACACACATATATCATATAATCGTATGAACAACAGAGTATGTTTACACGTTATTTTTTCCATTGTTTCTTTTGGATGACCTTACTACAGCGTTTTTAGGGGTAAATTGTCATTGTCGCTTGCAGAAGTTTTTCGATCAACAGAGTGGCTATATCAGCACAATTCTTAGGTATTAGGTAGCTTTAGATAAAAGGACTACAGGGCGATGCTTCGACATCTTTATGGTGTGGTTCGGATTTCATCACCAAAAATATAGAATAAGGATTCCCTTCAATGGATTCCTATTTTTGATATTGCAGATTAACTATAAGGCCTACACTTATTTATGTGGATTTCACCATTTAATTTTGTTCTATTTACCGTGACAGTCAAAATAAACTTTGGGAACAACTTAACGCTTAAGAAACAATGTGGTCCCTGATAAACATCAAAATTTTAATCTGCCTGTGTCTTTGGTTTGATGATGTAGTCTGGATCAGCTTTGCTTCTCCACTCAGTCCAACTCCCCTGAAAGAAAATAGTGAGCAAACAGTTTAATATTCAAATATTTAAATATTTAAATAAAAATGATAATTAAGCTTTTCTGTTCTAATTTTTGCGTTTGTTTGTTTGTTTTTAATTAGGTTAACATGCAAACAATCGTACATTTACATACTTTGTACAAGTTAGATCGACTCGCAAATGAATTAATCCAAAAAGCGGTGTCAGATTGCAGTATCTGCACTATTTGTTTGGATGTTGTATATTAAGGCTGATATTTCAGGCCTGAACAATTGTTATCACTCAACATTATTCAATGGTATCTACTTAATTACATCCTAAATTTTGGTCATTATATTTGTGTTTGTCATTTATAACTTGCTTTCGTGTGTGAATGAAGGGACCAGAATTGTGAACAATTTCAAAAAGGAGGTACCATATAGACAGCCAGGTCGTTCATGCCGCATATGTGGGCCGCCATGAGCAGACTGCATGCTGTCATCCCTGTGTTGCATGATGCCACCAGGGGCTGGTCCAACTTTGTCCCGGACTCCTGCAACACTATAGAATAAGACGATAGAATAACAAAGTACATGTGAAATAAGAACTTGTCATTTTTTTATGTAATGAAGTTTACTGTTATTCGTTTCAAATACTTGAAGTAATGTAAGACGCTGCAATAGACGAATAAAAGAACATGCCAACACAATAGGACAGAATAGGTGTGTGCGCAAAAAGTAGGCCAATGCCCTGGTCCAGAACACTATTTTACGCAGGAAAAAATACAAATATTTGGATTTTGTTTCATTTACATATCTACCTAGTGAGTTAGACGTGAAGACTCTTAATGACATGATAGAAACTTGTTGATAAAGCACGATGTAAGTAAATTTCAACGTTTCCACTTCAGTGCACCGCTTGCATGACTCGTTATATTGTTGTCATTGTATTGTCAGTCGACTTGTGATTATAGGCTCACGTTCATAAACCCGAAGACAGACGCTTCTTTTTGAAAACTTTTTGTGAGTAGTCTTTTTGTTTGATTCAGACCATATGCAGTTGGGTTGCAAACGATAGGCGTAAATCATCAGGTACTTATCAACCTGCATCATGATTGTGGCAATAACCAGTTTCAATAACCATTGGCAAACATTATGATTAAGTTTGACCCTTATTTGCACCTTTCTTATCTCAGTAGAATGTTGAGTTACATATTTTGAGGCCATTAAACGCCCGAAACTTCTCTTATATTTTTTATAATAACTTACGCCGAAGGAGTTCTTCCTTTTTCTTGAAGGTATGGCTCTCCTGGTCTATTAAGTCGTCCATTGGGATGTTGAACGAGCCTGGTATGTATCCTCCAACATAACCTAAGAAACATTTACAATTTTAGGGCATACTAAACACACCCTTAATCTACAAATATAAGATTTAGAATAAAAGGTAGAAGATCTATCATATCGGTTTATATTGTAGTATATGAGGGCACTGTGCCTGGCCCGAAGACAACCATTTTGATTTAAAAAGCCATAGCTACATGCTTTGTACGCGCGTTGCCGCATATAATAGGCCTATTGCCCGTATAATACTTAGTGAGGCATCCGCGCAGGGGGCAAGCGGAGGCCGTGCAAATGTGACCATACTAGGGTCAAGGTGTTGGTACTTACTCCCCCCTGATGTGTTAAGATATTGGCCTCTTGGCCGGGAATCCCCAAGTTGTTCCTTTTTTGTTGATATTATTGACTTTATGTCATCAAAAGACCGAAGTAGTTCAGGTCTCTGTTTAACACTAAAGTTGCCTCTCTGTAATATAAAAAAAAACTTTGTTCAGATGTCTTGTTTTAACATTCAATTCATTTGAAAATCAATGTAATGTATAAGAAACCTGGGCTTGAAATAAAAAAAGATGATGGCTGAAGAACATATCGAGTTAAAACGTTTTAAATGACGCTGCAACACGGATGCCTTTTCCAGAAATTTGGATAAACCATTTACAGTATCAATATCGGGTACCTTCACATTCATAACGTCTGCAGTTGTGGCATGGTTGTCCTTTTTCCATTTGGTTAATCCTCCGTCTAATACGGACACCTTGTCATGACCAAATATCTGCATCAAAGAAAGGATCACATATTGATGGCACATGAAGTATCTTCTACTTAGATGTATATGTTTTAGCACTCTTTACATTCAAACGTGCGACTCTGTAGAGTACAGGTATTCATTGAGACAAGTATGGCAGTCTTAACTTTTCTCATCTAAATCAAGTACAAGCATGAGGAAAAAACAGAAGAGGTAGGGTGACAGAAAAGCCTAAAGTCTACTGCAAACATGTATTAAATAACCTCAGGTGAGGAACACGTTTCAAGGTCAAACTTCAAGTAAGTTTATAGTTTACTGATAATCTTTTTTTGTTATCATTTATTAACTTTTTTAAGGATGCGACGCACTTCGGTTAAAATGAAAATCATATTTCCAAATTTGATTGAGAAATAACTATCAGCTAGATATACTGTGGTCAGTCGATCTACTGCTTAAGGTACTTACAGTATGTAAAGAAAACAAAAAGACTCACTGTGAACATTTCTCTTGTTAACTCAATTTTCAGAGAATATGCGCAAATATAATGAAATCATTAGCGGTCTCTGTCAATATTTATGTGTTTAGCGAAAGATACTAATATTGACCATACTTTAGCTAAGAAGGCAATATGGTCTATTCTAGATGACAGCAAATTTTGTCAAATGTAAGAAACTGTTCTTGCATCATCAAAAAAAACCAGTTGTCGAAAAAAGTGCCCCTGGTTTCTATAACCCCTGTATCCAGCCACAAATGTTCAACCGAATGTTAAATCTTAAGATAGTTAGTCAATCAGAAAGTCTGTAACAGAACATTTGAATTTATACAAAATCGCTTTACCTTAAACATCCACCACACTCTACAAGCGACATAAAACCCGTGTTTTCCTCCGACATTATTGTCGTATACTATCACGTGCGTATCATCATCAATCCCGAGAATGCGGGCTTGTTCCTGGAATGCTTCAGCACTGGGGAGATTTCTGGGAAAATGCGGGGTGTTTTCTACTCCATACATTAAATCAAAATACAGGCTGCCGGGAATATGTTCCCTGAAAAAATTTAATATGATCTATTGGTTAGGATTCGTGGTGATAATCGCACAAAAAAATTAATAACTCGTATTGAAAATTGTGTGCACCTGACATCACCTCATGGTGTCTACTTGGACTTTCTGTGGATATACTAAAAAAATGACTTACTTGTAATAATCAGCCCGTGTGTTTTTATCACTACTCCACGATACATCTAAAAGCCTGAACTCCTTGGAATCTTCCTCTTGTATCTTTGTCAAGTTATTCTGCAGCCACTCAGTTGTGATCAGGGTAGGGAGAGCCATTGTTTCAGCGTGAAATATCGGTGTTGATCTGACGTTGATCTAACAACCACTGTTTAACATGTAACGTAGTCCCAAACGTATGATTATATATACTCGAGATACTTATACCAGCAGAATGCAAGGTAACGCGCGCTCGCTAGAGGACCCTTAGCAAAGGGAAGGGTCACAGCGCTTGGGTGACGATGTCACAACAGAATAGCCTGACTCTGCATTTTCGGAACATGAAACGTACCTATTGTGACGACCTATACAACCTTCAATATGTCTGTTTAACTTGGTACATCCCCTACTCTGAAACTGATCCCCGGTGTCGCGTTCTTTGTCTGCTGTTCATTCTCAGATTACAATGACTATATGTAGAAACATCAGCCGATTTTGTTTATATGTTCAGTTGATTTGAATCAAACGACATTAAAGGCAACAATAAATTTCAAACATTTTGTTCAGTTGGCTTAAATAAATAAATCGTTTTGCAAATGCATCTTTAAAGATCAACTTCATGTATGATAGATTAAAAATGCCCGAGCTTTACGCTTGTGTGCCTTCTTCAGGGGCTAAAAATGAAGGCGCGTTAGCCGAAAGCTCAGGCATTTTTTGATCTATCAAAATTGATCTTTATAACTGCGTAATTTATTTATTTCTTATGCAAGATCAACGCGCAGATTCAGTGGTTAATTCAGCCAGATTAAAATGAGAAATGGTTAGTTGCACCCTTTAACGTGACAATGCAGTAATTATCTTAAAAAGGAACGTTACATGGGTGTGATATTAAAAGGAAAATGAAAAATACAAGTATTTTAATAGCAAAGATTCCAGTGAAGACAGCTTTCACTCATGTGTTTTGGTCACATCAAGAATTAAACCTAGGCTTCATCATAAGCGAAGATTGCCGTTTTTAACATGAACCGTAACCACAATCTTAGCGTTTCATTATTACACAATATATTTTTACACGGCAGCAATGCGTTCTAGACAATCTCAGCCTCATACGGAACGTACCGAACGGGTAGATCAGCGGATAAACGGTTTCTGTAATGAAACGCTGTATTTGTGGCAAGTAATTTTACGTTGGGATAGTTAATTCGTAGCTGAAAGCGTTAATTTCGGCATTTGTGCTCGCAAATCTGAGGCCTGAATTATAACACGCCTTATCCGTTTACAAGGTCCGATTTTCAGTACTTATTTTAGTGCTTTTTCAGAATCATATGAAAATTACCACATTACAAGTTTTATTTTCGTTTTGCATATCATATGAATAATGAATTATCTTACAGGAGAAAAATCACTCAAACCAGTTCCATCTAAATTTAAGGAGGCCCTTGAAAGAAGAATCTGACGTATACAAATTTCCAGGCGGAAAACGGTGAAAGCAGTTGATAAAAATCTATTCACTGTAGCTATTCTACGGAGTATTTTTCCTTAACAATTAAATCAACTTTACGAACTTCAATTAATCAAAAATATGGCTTAATACTGTTTTAATATTTCACACGTATGTGCTACTATGTATCCGAGTTGGTGCAATTTAAAAATGTGAGGTATAATAGTTCATTTGTTGCACATTTCAGTTTATTCTCACATGTTGAACAATACAACAACATCAACATAATTAGATGAATGACAAGATAATGTACAGAATATTGCACTCATTGAGTGAGCATAGTTCCTAAGAAGATCTGGAACAGATTTCTTGTGATCTGTTCAAGGACAATTAAAAAATCTAACGTTAAAAAACAATGACACAAGACATTTTGACGGACCTGTCATCTAGGCATCTTGATATATCGTCTTCTTTAACTTAATTAAATATATGCAAATACTAGGTTTGTACATGAAGGGGAACATTTATGAACCCTTGCCTTTCAACATGAATATAACCAAAATCTTGGTGTTCATGATATAGTAAAGGGAAATCTTATGTCACTCACTGATCCCCATAACAGTTTTCTTTTTGCTGCCATGAGCATCTTAACAATAACTCTTTGTGCCATTATCAAGTTGTCCTTGCACAGCCTTTTTAATTATTGCTTTCGTCAACAAAAAGCAGCAGTTCTCAGTGAATTATATCAGACCAGGCTGTGTATATCTGGCATAGAGACAAGTGACCGGGAAGTCACACAGAACATAACAGGCATCATCGTAATCTAATCAGCTATCACTGCGAAATTACTGAAGCACACTGCTGTAAAAAAATTTTTAAAAGATGAAAATAAGTAATGAAGAGCTGTACAACATTAATGCAATTCTTTCAGTGTAAACGGTATCAAATGTAGGAAGATCTAATCATAGGTTAAAATAGCACATGCTAACCTATGTGTTTACTGACCGGTTCTAATACATATAAAAAATCACAAGTCTGAAAATGGTGTACTTCATCTTTTAAATGGGAAACTATGGACAATGCAATGCATTGAAAGAGGCTTCTACTCCATGCAGACAGCCCTTGACCATGAATGGTTTTAACTAAACAGCACCATATTTGGGTATCACAAATACATCAATCACTGCCTGAAGCTGACAGGTTGCATGTGTACTAGCCATTTCTTTAGAACTCAGCCCTATGGATAAATGGACAACACAAGGCACATTTATTTCTAAAACTATTACAGATTGCAGGATCACATTACATAATCTGTGTATAATCATACTGTGCATATACATATATATCACATACTCACATTTGACATAAGCACGTGGTGTATTTCACTGACAGCAACAGAAAGCTCCACTTTGATAAAACAGATACTTTCAGGAACATAATACAATGGCAGAAAGCGTTAACCTTATTAACATTACACACAGAGAACATCAAGTTGTTGAGAAAATTAAAACCGATTAATGAAAATGTTGGTATAAATATAAATTCAGCCATCTTCCTGCCCAATTTAATTAGTGCATATACTAATGTCCAGTAATTGGGGGGCGGGTGGGGGTGGGGGTGGGGGTACCTGCGTCTACCAGATTTGAAATGCACCTTTGCTGAAAAATGGAAATACTACCACAACCCAATTAACATATGAAAGCACCTAATGTATATACAATGTAATATAGAACCATATGTAGTGACATGGCACTAAAATGCAACCCAAAGCATTAAAAAATCATTTCAGGCAAAAATACAAATATAAAACACAGCACTAAGATCTGGCTAACAAAGTCCCACTTTCTCATGTAAATCTACTCTGGACACAAAAAAAAAAAAAAAAAAAAAAAAAAAACATTTTAAGCAGCTACATCAACATCAAGGAACTTCAAACGTGTTTGATCATTCTATCTCAGCTGTTTGTGTTACATTTTGCCTCATATTCTGTGTCTGAAAAGCTGGGCAGTGTAAGCACAACAAATCAGGGGTATGAAAATGGCAAAGCATAGCGAAAACTTAAAATTATGCAAGCATGGCTGCCTGGTTGCAAGAAAAAAGCAACCTGTACATATGATCAGTTTTTTCAATTACTTTACTTTGTATTTATATCAGAATATTATTTCCCAGTTCTTTGATGTTCTGATTTCAGCAGTTCTTCCTGCAGATGCTGTAAAGTCTTCATAAGTGACTCTCGCTCTTGTCGCATACTAGCAATTTCTTCATTTCGATCCACCAGCTGTTCCATCAGCTGAGTTCTCTCCCCCTTCAGTGCACCGATCTCCAGTTTCATCTCCTCCATCGCGCCATTATCACCATAAGTAAGCCCACCTGAATGAGTGAATGAAGAGATCTTCTCAAACTGTTTCCTCAATGCCTCATTTTCCGATTCCAGTTCCTGAAGAGATTTTGCTGCATTGTCTTTTACCCTTTTTACTTCCTCATCTTCTCTGGACTGTACAAGACAGAGCTGTTCTTTCAAAGCCTCTTTCTCCTTCTGCAGTGTGCTGATAGTGGCTTGGAGGAACTGAAGACTTATGTCTGGACTTGATGGGCTTACTGGACAGCTGGGTTCATCTGATGACTTCTCTGTACCATGTGGATCAGGAGGGACACCTGTCAGGTAAGAAGATTGCAGTGCAGCAAATGAATTGTTTGCCATAAATCTAAGAAGCTTTTACGTAATTGTGGCATTCAGTGATCATTATCATATTTAAATGCACAAATATACAGTTAATTCATTTATTTATTCAAATACATGTTTTCTAAATTGGTCATTTATAAGGGCAAAAAATAGAACTGCAAAATTTAAATTTCTTATCATTTTCTTAATACATTCATTACAGAAATAAAAAATATACATGAAAAAAAAGAATAACTTTTTTTCTCAGTTTAAAAATTCTAACATTGTATATGGGCTAATGCATTTTTTTATTTTGAATGCCATCCAACATCTAGTACTTGTGAGTAGGCTGTTGACGTAACTTGTGGTTTTCTTACCCTTGATATGGAACACACCATCTTGTGTTCTGGAGATGATAGCATGCTCCACATGGAGGTCCAGGGGCACAGCTCCTGGGGACGTCACATTGACAGGGGGACGATCATCCTGGAAGTACAGATATACCAAATAAAATAAGTTCTGAAAAAATCAATAACAATCTACAAATCCACTGTTCTATTTTTTTAAAAACCCACATTTAATATGTATCAATTCAGACACAATTCCCTTAACCTTAAACTTCATTTTTTGAAAACACTCAGTATCAACATTAGTTAAAACTAATCAAATTTACACCAAATTATAGAAAGTTACCTCTAAAGTGACTGTTATGTTATTGACATCAATGACCATGGGCATGGCCGGGGGGACAATTTCATCCTCTATCAGACTGACCATCCCTTCTACACTGGACATTGCAAGGGTAAGGTCACAGCCACTAGCATTCAGCAGCAGGAACCCTCTCTCCCCTGCCGTGGGTGCAAGACGCTCAGCATGGGGTCCCATCTCCATTCTCAGTTTGAAAGGGGCATCTGTTGGATGACTGGGGACTTCACTTAAATTTTTCCTTCCTGAAAAAGCAAATGGACAATAGCAACTGTGGGACTAGTTAAGTATTTTTATTCACTTGTTTGCAATTGTTTTTCAAATTCTTAAATCTTTTAGTAAAACTTTGCAATGGCACAAAAAATAAAAGATGAACACAACATAAACTTGTAGAGTTGATAGAGTTGATCTGTCCTCTCTGGTAAAATGAGAACATTAACAAGGGTGATGACATAAAGAAATAAAAAAACTAGTTGATTACCTGCAGCAAATGATTGCTGAAATTCCTCCAACACAATATTGCCTTTGACAGCAGAGACCAGGTGGTCAAGACAGACCTTCACTACAGAGTCCTGACCACTGGACTGAAACATCACCTCAGTGTTCAGCAGATTGAATGTTGTCACAGATACCTGGATAGAATATAGCAAAACCTGCTGGTAATGTCTGAGAGATGTTACAATGTAAAACATAATACAGTCAATGTACAACAATACAAAAAAAGAGTTCGACTACTTTGCTAGGTGTGATTTCAATTCTTTTGCATTCCCAAAGTCAATTAACATGTACTATAAAAAATAGAAATTTCCATGCAGCCAACTTTTGAATTTTTGCAAAGACAGTGTTAGGTGTAGGGGATTCTAACAAGTGGTATTTACGCATTAAAAAGACTACAATAAACTGATAAGCTCAGCAAAATTTCAAGCAGTAAACTACATTGTTTTGTTCATACCAGGTCTCTCAACTTGTCCTGCACACTGCTCAGTGTGGTCACACTAGCAGTGTCTGGGTCCTGGGAGGCTGTGTCTGACCTTCCCTGACCAAACCCCACCAGACTGTCCACATCATCTTCCAGCGTGTCTGCCCCCAACAACACAAAGTCCTCGTCATCGTCAGACAGTCCGCTCCTTACTGACATCCTGTCCACCTCATCCTCCGAGTCGCGTTTCATCAGCCCCTGCTTCAGGCGACTAAATCTGTCCAAGCTCGGAAGGGAAAGGATACCCGACTTCTTCCCATCAGAAGAAGATCCAGATGGCCTCTTGGATCTCTCAGAAAGTTTAGGCAGAGATGGGTACTTCTCTGTCAGTGATCTGGACATGATCTGGCTTTGTTTCTCCACCATGTCAGTGTCACTGTGAACTCTCTCTAAGCTATGTCCATCCGATGGACTTTTAGACTGCCCCTTGGTGACCTCGTGAGGCACATTTGTCATAGTAATGCTGCCATCATTTTTCACTTGCAAAAGCAGATCAACATCTGTCTGACCTCTTGTTTGACTACTGGTTTGTGCAGAAGCTTCAGATGTTATTTTCCTAGTCTGTTCTATTAACATCTCACTTGCAGTAGCTTCCAGAATGTCTGTATCACTGCGGGATCTGATCACAATGCCATCTGGTGAGAGCTGAATGTCCATTTTCTTCTCCTCTGAACTTGTTGGAATGGTAGACCTTGGGCTGGCAGAATTTTCTTTAAAAAAACAGAAAGAAAAAATCAAAGAAATGCTGCAATATTATTTACTTATTTGATAAATTTTTAAGAAATAAAACTACAAAACCTCTGAACAAATGAAATTGCACAATATGAACAGTGCAAAATTCTGGTATCAGTGACGGCCTTTGGCAGACTTATGAAGACTACATCCACAAACACCAAGGTGCCTATACAAAAAAAAAAAAAAAAAGCTGTCACAGTAGAAAGGGGAAGTTACTGAGACAATATCTTTGGTAATGTAAGTTTCATTTTTGTTGACCATACCTCCTGATTCTTCTTGCCGTGCCATTCCATCACCTGACACCTCCCCCAGATCATCAGAATCTGTCCCTTCACGAGAAATGTTTGGCACCAATGTCTGCACAGGGGGAAACACAAGAGCGAGCTCTAATTCGGGCAAGACGAGACCAACACATATCTTTTTGGCCTCTATCTCCTTCTGCATAATGCTGATTGTATCCTCTTCCAATTTTTTCTGTAATTCTGTCACTGACTCAATCAGTCTCATCAGGAACAGAAACTGATAGTGATTGAGCTGAACACACACTTTGTCTGCAGTATCAACAATTATATTCACATCACTTAACCTATCATTCTTATCTGGTGAATGACTTTCCTGAGTAGTATTCATCTCAAGGACACCGTTATTATTACAAGTCTTCTTCTCAGTTTCAGTTCTATTTCCCGTACCATTGCTAAGGAGTGGTAAGGCAACCCATAATGTCAGCGGGAAGGACTCCACAAAGGGGACCGGCCTGTGCTTTGACACCTGGACGCCACCAAAGTCCAGCCACAGTTGCTCAATCACTGCACACCATACGTCCTTGGTTCCATCATGTTTCAAGGCATTAGTCCCCAGTAGCCGAAGCAGTGGGGCACCTTTCAGTGGAGAGTTCTCATCAGCCTTACCCAACTTGGCATCTGTACTGACTCCATTTAAAACTGGTAAAGGGTTAAGATAGACACCATGTTTCTTTGAGACATGTGTTGCATAGATGTCTGGCAATGACTCCAGATCCTCTTTCATGTTTGGAAAGCCTGTTGAGCAGAAGAGTTTGGCACTAGTTTGTTTCTTCACCAGTTGATCCAGGTGTGAGAGTGTGGCCTTGTCATTGTCCTCCACATTGGTGATGATCATCCTGGAAGCATGGATGTGTAGGCTGTCAGGACGATCTGGCTGGTCTTCTACTGATTTCTCAGCTGGCAAGATCAGCTGAAACAGTACATAAAAGATGATCTAAAAGCCACACTGTATGGTATTCAAACTTTGTTTTTGAGCTTTAGGAGGAGCAAATCAATTCATTACAGGGGCAGGTATGGCAAAACTATAGATCTTTAAGTCAGAGGTCAACAGTGAGCCTTCCAGGCCTGCAAAATCAATACTGACTGAAAATAATTTAGATTTTTGCAAAAAGTAATTCCTAATGTAAAATATTGAACTTACAATTGTTTACATGGGTTGATATTAATCTGAAGATCATCAGTCCAAATGGAAAATATCTCTACAATTTTCATCAAGTTTAGAGTGTACTAAATGTGACTGTATGACTGCATAAAAATGCTTAATTAGCAATGATATGTTGTTTATCAAGTACATAAACAAACCTTTGGCATCAGTAGGTCTATTCTGATATCCACATGCTCCTTTGGTCCATCTTCTATTTCTATATCCTACATATAAATACAATCCATCACATATCACAGACTAGTTACTCAAGATGCACAATGCTAACTTTACATCCACTAATTCTGATCAATCTTTCCTTTTCTGCCAAAATAATTTTGTATTATAATTCACACTGGCCGTCACCTTGACCTGACGCTGGGATTTTCATACAGAGATGTGGGTTGAATTTCAAAAGGTGGTCAGTATGGTCAATATTATGATAGTATTATGATAATGTAGCTGTGGCTTATTAAGGTATGTGGATTTGGTTTGGTTGTGATCTAATGGCCGATTCCATTTTATTTGAACTTTTAATGTATGTGACCAGAAGCTTTTATTAGTGAATAGTTACTATATGACATATTTTATTTGATTTGTGTTTGGTATTCTAGAGTATTTTATGTGGTTTTTAGCTTCATTAACTGATCCAGGTGGAAGCCTAGTGCGCAATGATTTTTTTCTTTATAAATCTTGCAAGTATTATACAGCTAGTTGAGAGGCAAGCTGGCTTAGATTGAAATAGCATACTCTTGGTTTAAAAAAAGGGTATACTGCAATGTTAAATTTTGTGAGAGCAAACTTACAGCAGTATGAGCTAAACTTAGCATGAAAGCATTCAACCACAATATTGTCCTGTAGTCCACAGTCAACTGGAAGGGTGTCACCTTTACAAACAGATTGGAACTAGGCACTGCCAAAAAAGAACAGGAGTATAAACTAAACAAAATGCACACTTTGTCTAAGACTTGGCAATGATGCACACAGCAAGGAACATATAATTCTGAGAAGGCTTAAGTTCTTGGTTTATAGGAAAGAACTGCACGAAAAAGAGGTTTTAGATCCAATAACTCATCATCTAATTCTACCAAACAAAGCCCAATCAGTGTCAGATTCAGAAATCTAGTAAATAGATTTTCCTCATATACAAATTATCAGTGCCCTTACCTGGGTAGTCTACTCCTTGAGGAAAATAGTAACTTGTATACTCTACATGAATAGATGACATTTCAGGAGGCAGGTGAAGGGATTTCTTGTCAGAGCAGAAAAACTTTTTTGGTCCTGCCTTCTTGTTGTCAGAAGAAGTAGAAACTTTATATAATATAAAATCCTCCATTCTGAAGATAAAACAGCTCTCTAGCAGTTTGGCTGGTTTCTGTGGTTGCAGTTTGGTTGCTGATTGCACTTTTTGTCCATGGCTTTTATGACCTTGAGCTCTGGGTGAATTATATTGATCTTGGGTAGACTGAGAGTGATTAGCTGCCTTCGGAGCATTGCTTGTGTGAAAGGGTGAAACAGGTGGGCTCTGCTTTGTAATCTCCCGGAGTTCTTCTCTGAATCTGTTCAGGAGGACTTGTGTCCACTCATTCCGAGCTTGTAAGTCATCATTGAACTTCACAAAATGCTTCCTTTCATTGCCTGTTGTGATAAAATACTTTAATCCATGAATTACATGTAACTTGACTTAGTTTTATATAAAATTTCATCAGCATTTCTTCTTGTCTTTTCTGTCATATATTTACATTTTGTTCCTTTACATATCTATATAGAAGCACAAGTGATTTACTGTCAGTGAGAGTCAGGTGCAAAACAAAAAACTTTTAAATCTGAGTAAAAATCTTGAGTCATTATAACCAGAAAGAAATTCTGCAAATTCTGCAAAAGACAAAGCTTGAAATTATAAGAAGGATAAAAAGACTGACAATAAATTCACAGTATTTGCCACTATCACTACTGACTTACTGGAGGGATGGAAAGGATAGTGGTCCAAAGATATCCTGTGTAGTGTTATCTGCATGGCACCGCCATCAAGGAGACTGCTCTTGCCTGGACAAGATGACCCTACAACAGGAAAGAATGAACAGAGTTAGGAACAATTCTGACTAACTTTCAGCAAACACCTGTCTAAATATCTGTCTATCAACACTGTAGATTTGTCTTTCCTCTGTAAGTGAAGAAATTGAAGTACATGTAAATACACAGCTGAAAAGTGGCTTTACTGATTTTTGTTTTGTCAACCATTTTAAATTGGATATGCTGTACCCTGGCAATCTTTGACTGAGAGAAATTGTTGTTTTTTAAATGTTCCACATCTTGTCTATTTTATATGTCTAAACACATGATGCAAAATGTGAATATCTCAGAAAGGCTACTTACCCTCATTGCTATGGCTGAATTCATTGCACAAATGTAGGTCTATCCTCCCCAAGAATATGTGATAAGATGTCTCAATCACATCATACTTATCAAAAAACTTTCTGAACTCCAAATGTTTACTGGAATGCTTTTCTTGTTGTTGTTGTTGTTGATGTTGCTGCTGTAGCTTAATATTATCTTCCTTTGAGCCTTGAATGTGACCTTGTTTCTACAGGAAAAATTCTAAAACTTAGTTTTCCATCTATGTATGTGTGTATATTTCTAAACAATTCCTAAACAATTCACTAAAAAGTTGCATCATTTATAAGTATAAACCCTCCATATGTTAAACTTTTAGTATGACTTAAACTTAAAAAGCACAATTAAGCCTCTTTCCCCTAACATTATAAGTATAACTTTTTACCTGTAGTTTTTCGAGTGCACTTTCTTTACTTTGATCTGCAGATTTTTGGAGCACTTCTTTCAAGGACTTCCCATACAGAATGACTGCTTTCAGTTGGGAGTCAGTCAGCACCCACAGTAAGTCATCCAAAATTAGCTGAACTTTAGAGGAAACTATACTGCAGTCTGGAAATATGTTTCAATAAATGATTATCATTGCCTTGATTTAGCATTCAGTAGGATACAACAGTAAAGAGAGAGAAGTTTATAGAGAAAAACAAATCAATAAGAAAGACGATAAGTTATATATCAACATTTGAGGGCAAACATATACTTTGTCATGTATTGTAAAGTCACAACCATATCACCTTGTGGCAATGCTATCAGGTTGTACAATAACGTATATATATATTTGACTTAAGTCTAGAGACAAGAAAATTAAATAAAAAAACTGGGTCAACTACAGCCCACACACCTGACAGTGTCTTCTTTACAGTAATTCTTATCTTGGACTGATTTGTGATGAGTCTGAGAGGAGTGCTGGCCAAATCTGGGTCATGTGAGGAGAGAGCACTGGCTTCGATACGTAACGTCTGCCACTCCACTTCTTTGAACAGCAACAGGAGACCACGGTCTTGGTCTTTTATTCGGCCCTGGCGAATGTCACTGACCTGACGCCATAATGGATTCTTACTCTCAACTCGGATTCTTGACATCTTAAACAGAATATTTTGCTTAGGATAAGAAATTGAAAAAATAATGCAAAAAGGATATATGAAATGTAATCTGAATTCGAATCTAAACTGAATGCAAAGTAAATTAGAGGAATGCCCGTGTTTTTATGAAAAATATTTTAAATGTGATCACAAATATTAAATACATGATTTACAAAAAATTCAAAATCTTGAATGCTCCTTTCTATTTGGTTAAAATATACTCACTTGAATAGAACCATGAAAGGCATGTGCCTTAAAGTTTACAAGGACAGAATTCACTGATACAAACATTCCATCCACCACTTTGTCCAAAAAACCATATTTGCCTCCAGAGCTGGAAGGAAAAATATTCATTCAAAATAGTCATCATTGTAAATACATAACACTGATAAATTTCAGTTTAAAATCTTTCGTGGCAATATGGTGTTTAAAACCCCTAATCTAGCATATATCATGAAATTGTACTCATTACCATTCATATTTCTTATGCTTTCATGGTTAACAACACAGAAACAATTGTATCTTAAGACAAAATACAGCAATCTCTATCTGGAAAACAATACATTCAGACTTTTATAATCCATACATTGCACTCAATTTCAAGTTATTAAGAAAAACTGACAACCTTTCCATTACTGATGCTAAGAAATCAATCTCATACTACAAATGTATCAATTATCATAAATAACTAAGTGAGTAATCAATAATCCTTAAGATCCTACATCTTTAAGTTAAAAGTCTTTGAACATGCCTGTTACCATAGTGATGAGACATCAAGTTAATTGTATGGCAATAAACAAAAGCATATTTTCACCCCAACACAGACACAGATAAATTGACTTCTTAACCACAACTTAATTATTTTGGTAACTCATAACTAACTAGCCAGAGTGCCAGTTGAGCTATTTTTCTACAAAGAAATCAAGCCAGGTAATTGTTGCATAAAATACTAACCTGTAGCTTGGCATGCCATCCAGGTTCTGTGGTTTCCTTGGCTCATCACAGGTCTCCATCTCTACTACCACCTCATCTAGATACTGAGACAAATTTAACAAATACAAACACAAACAGATGACAATATGCAGATAATGTTCAACTGCATGTGGTTTATACAAAACCTTGTGGTGGTTTGAAAAAAGGAAAGATCATATGGATACGGTAATTACTCTATCTTTTCAATGGGAGAAAATTGCAAATTTTACAGATACTGTATTTTTAAGTCATAAAGTCATAAAATTAGAACATCAAATTAAAAAGCAGGCTACTATATAGTTCTACTCTATGCACTTTAAGTTATCAATACACGCATAAAATGTTTTATTTTAAACCTGAGTTTTTGAAAGATAGTATGCTCTATTCTTTATAGAAAATGTAACTGGGTATTTTTATTATTATTTTTTTTTTTTGGGGGGGGGGGGGGAATAAATGTCAAGAGATCAACAATGAATTTGTAGTACATGCATAAATTCAAAAATCGGTCAACAAACCCAGAATATTATCAATAGATTGTATTTAATCAAGCAGTACAATGAAGTCATCAAATAAACACTAGAATCTATCAACCAGGGTATCATTCTTACAAGATAAATGAAGTCTCATAAATCAACAACAACAAAAAAAAAGATAAACCAGCTGTCTAACTGGATAAGAGACTCAAAACAATAAATTCATTTATTTTCCATACACTTCTAGCCTGGAGTGCAAAAATTTCTAGTGCAAACACATTTCACAACATGTACTCTCTTAACACAGATCTAGCTTGTGTGATATTATGATGCACAGGAAACTTTAACTTGAAAGATATGTATCCTAAATAACAGACATTTTTATACTCGATGTAATGCTTGATAAATATTAACATCATTTTTCTTAATATTAGGTGGTTTAAATACTTACAAGACAGATGGGTTGACTCTTCAGTTTTGTCCAATGAATCTTTAATGAAAAAAATAACAATAAAGATTATTGAACTATTCAAATTAAAAATAGTAACTTAAGATTATTCTAAACAATTTCAATCCTTCCTGTGTTTATTCACAGCTTACAAAAGTACCAGATTAATAAAATACTTTTATGAACCTTGTGAGACATGTAAGCTGATATGGCTCAAATTTCTAAAATCATGAAAAAAAAAAAAAAAAACAATATTTTCTTTAACTGACTTCTCTCTGGAACTTTTTTTCAGAGAACACTCACAGTTGCTTTTTTTACAAAGTTAAAAATACCAAGTACATCAATCTTGGTGTAACCAGACAGGGTATACTAGTCATCTATAGATAGTGAAGTCACTTACAAAGATGGCTAAATTACTGCTAGGGCACTCGGCCATTTATGTAATGTGGCTGCATTACTAGAGTATTTGTAGGTTGCCACTTATGCTTAAATTATTCATTGACGTCATATTAATTTACAAAGCAGCAAACAGTTTAAAATCGTTTCATAATTATCTATCTAATTAGTCAGAATGAAATGGAAACAAACAATAAAATACATATACCCCAACATGTGTAGTAATATATTTGTGTGGTTACATTTTGCAAATGTCCTCTCTGAGAAAAAAAAGCTTATCTTTCTAATGTTAAATCTTTTGCAGCCTGTGTAGTTCCCATAAATCTTAAAACAAACTACTTATTAAAAGTCCCATATGTCTGAAGAATATTTATTGATATCTTTTTCCTTTTCACATCAAAATGAATTAAACCCTACAACAAAGGAAGGTCTTTTTTGTCATGCTCTAACATGCATATGTACCAGTAATGAAAAATGTAAAATGAATCCTTAACATATATCATTTCATTATATATTGATTAATAGACTATCATATTTACATCAAGCTTTATGCCTACAATGCTATTCAGATTGAATCATGTGAACTTTTTTCTTAGATTCATCTATCAAACTTCTTTGGATCTTGAGCTTTTTCCTCCTTAATTTTTCCTTTCACACAATGGCAAGCACAGACACACATTTAAGTATATAAAGCAATGCCCTGTCACCTGCTTTGTCATAACTAATGACATCAATCCATCTGCCCACAGATCCATATTATACAATATCAATTTCATCTTCTATGAAAGCTTTTCATTTATGTGAAAAGTTATATATGACTGCATAATATTATAGAATTTGTTTTAGACTAAAAGTTATACTAATTGATTTGATTTTTACAAAATTTATAAATCATAGTTGTTCTCACATAATGACAATCAATAAATGTAAGGTCTCATGACAATTTTGACAGTAGACTATAAATGTTGATCACAGCAGACAGGATCAGTAGACAGACTAAATTCATGGAATAGGAACTGATATCATTTTAAGTCTGTATGTAAAACTAGTTACAGGTATTAAACTATGAAGAGGTGTGTCTGTTAAGGCCACTTCAGGCTATGTACTACTGGTATGTATACAGAGACAAGGCCCTGACCAAGTCATGGTCACTACATTCAAATTCATATAAATGATCTTTGCTTTTGAGGTTTTCTTTACAAACAAGATGTCAGTAAATTTCTTTAAAAGTTTCTAAAGTGGTAAAAATGCCCTTGCATGCTTATTATACTGTTGTGTTACTAGTAATAATATTATACAGCATTATGTGTGGATTCTGACCCTATACTAATCTTTTAGATATTAAATAAGCTTACCCTGATTGACACCCGGTTGCACACAGCTTTGCTAAGCCTTAACCATGTTGGAAGATCCAGCAGCTCCATTAATACATTCTCATTGAGTTCTAGGTTGGTGAGCTCACCTTCTCCCTTGAATGTGCTCAGGTTAATCTTATCTGCTGATAGATTCTTGGTAAACCTGTAGAAAAACACAAACAAATGAAATTTTCTTAAAAATTGTTCTACAATGTGTTAGAGAGAGATGAATGGACACAGTGGTCATGGTTATTTCAAACTAGAAGGGCATTAGACAGGCAACTGTGTATCTCCCAAATGTACCTTAAATAAATGCTTATATACTGATATTTCTCAAAATTCAAATAAATTTATTTCCCATTTATTGGAGAGAATGTGAGTATTCAATATTTCAAACTGCATTGTGGATTTAATGCATCTATCCATTAAATTTGATCCATTGGCAGAGTAATATGAACCAATTTCCTTATTAAGGATATATAGATCTATAGAATTTAATCAGCTAAGTGAGATCTGTTTGAATGCAAGGTGTTGCAGAGCATAACTAGACCTTTGATGGTAATCTTTACTTTTTTGTTCTTTCTTTCACTATCCTATATATTATATTGCTGGTCTTTGGTAATGCTCTACAGTACAGGGCATCATTTTCAAGCAATGAACTACTTCAGATTGGCACTTTTACACAATGTCAAAATACAAGGAATGCCTTCATCAGTATCATTCATTATTAAAGCCAAGTGCACACAGTGCCTGTTAAACATATACCCACTGTAAGGGTACATTTGTATGTCTGAAAGTTGGCAACTAAAACCTAGTAAGAACAGGTCAGATTATTCATTACTTCTTCATTTTGTCTTATATATTGATTCAGGGCTAAAACTGGCACAAGGTCACTGTGAAGTTCACAACTGACAAGAGACATTTAGATTTACTATGGAAGAGGACTAAACAGAACATGCCTTATGAAGCCTCTTAAATTATTCTATATTGCTTGGGACTTGAAGGTGACTAACTGCTATAATAATAACTTAAGCTCTCTAAACATATGCCTAAGTACAATGTGAATTAAAAGACAATTTATGATACTATTTATTGTTCAAGGGACACATTCCTCCATTATTGTTTACATCAATATTTGGTACAACCCAGCCTGGGTACCCTATTAACGCATGAACATATCTTACAAATTTTATTTATAAACTTGTTTAACCATCAGTGAAGCCGGTAGCAACTTTCCGCCAGTGATATATCCGCAACTGTATGTCATCACAAAACAATGCTGTCATAACGCATTCAACTCACATTATTTGCGGATATGACTGAGCCAATGGCGATAGTATTTTTCATGCCAGCACATTTAGATCGGTTAGGCATGAGCATTTTAACTTACTTTGAGAGATGTTTAAGGATCTGGTTCTTGATCAGTGACGCCATTCCTCTGTTTGAGTACTTATGACAGCATTTAACGCAGTTTTGTTCTTTCTCTTGTTTTCATCCCATCTTCAACGATGTTCAATGGCATAATGGCGACGCACTATTTTAACCAATCACCACTAAAGCAATCATTTCTGCTGAATGCTCTGTTGTTGTTATTTTTCTAACGTGCGACGAGCACTGCAACATGTACCCGCAGTTCTTCACTCGTATTTTTCCATTATACATGATTATTCAACACATGATTATTCAACACGAGTGACCTAATCATACATCTTTCGGAGTGGTATCCTTCCCTGTGTTAACCCGATTTAGAGAATCAAGAAGTTATAACTTCTTGAGAGAATGAACAAACACTGTTGATGGTTGCAATCCGAATTTTACTGAACACGTTCTGCGGTTCACGTTAGATTCTAGTGTACTAACTAATGTACCGGTGTCACCGATGTTGTGTAAAGTGCTTACACGCACGTGTATTACCAGTATACGACATACATTTCAAATTCACTTTCTTTCACATACCAAAATGCTGGCCTTGTTTTTCACACTGTCTTCTTGTCAAAAATGTTTTTAAAATTTTCAATGGAATTAACCAATACGTTTGGCTAGTTATAATTTCTATCATGTCACCGATGTCACCGAATAATTACACTTATAATTACAGTTTCCTTTTTCCCATGTCAGCTCGTGTCAGGTGCATATTGTGTCATTGGTGTTAAACCTTGAATTAAGAGCGATATCATATTGTTTTATTGCAAAGTTTCATTAAAGTTTAGGTCTATTATGTCACTGCTATAAATAGCATGGACATGTGGAAAATTTGATTAACATTCGGCTTCATGTCCATGGGAGCTCTGAGTCACACAATGAATAGGCCAACACGATAACAATGAATATTTCACTGCTTTTCCAACTCAGGCTGCATTTAGTCCTGTTTCTTTTTTGAAAGTTTGACAATCATAAGTAACATGGTTTTCCCATAATGGTCATCATGGCAGCAGCACCCAAAATTGTGTTTTCTTCTATTTTGATGCAATATTACATAATGCTTAACACCATAATGACCATCAATTTTTAATAATAAAATATATGCATCATGGATTTTCAGAAAATGTGACTAGCATGGGTCTTCAAGCCCATGGAGGTTCTAAGTCAAAGAATTTGAAAATGCTAACATGTGAAAACTTAAATTTTCATGAAAAACTGTTTAACTGACAGAAAGAATTACCAAACAGACTGCATTAACAAATGGAATTGTGTTTTAGTCCTATGCTTCTTTCCTGTAAGTTTGAGAACAATAAGTGACATGGTTTTCCTTAAATGGTCATCATGGGAGCAGTGCCTAAAATAGGGGTTTCTTCAAATTTTGATGCAACATTACATAATGTTTAACAGCATAATGACCATAAATTTTTAATAATAAAATATTAGTATCATGGATATTCAGAAAAATGTGACTAGCAAAGGTCTTCAGGACCATGGAACTTCAAAGTCACACCTTGAAAATGCCAATATGTGAAAAATTAAATTTTCACAAAAAAACTGTTTAACTGCCAGAAAGAATTACCAAACAGACTGCATTAACAAATGGAATTGTGTTTTAGTCCTATGCTTCTTTCCTGTAAGTTTGAGAACAATAAGTGACATGGTTTTCCTTAAATGGTCATCATGGGAGCAGTGCCTAAAATAGGGGTTTCTTCAAATTTTGATGCAATATTACATAATGTTTAACAGCATAATGACCATCAATTTTTAATAATAAAATATTCAATTCAATTCAATTCAATTTATTTCTGTACTGGTACATAGATTGTCATGACCTTGTACAATATGATATACTAATGACGATACAATACAGTTAGTGCATTACCATCTTTATATAATGGACATACGTATCAGTAAAATTACTCATAAAATATTCTATCTAAGCAATGCGATAAACCTTGGTGTGATTTTAAATTTACCATAAACATACTATAAACATGTTACACAAAAAGAATATGTTTAAACTTAAACCAAGGTTACATAGCTGTTTAAAGCCAGTTTGATGACATGGATAATTACGACTAATGACAATTACATAAGACAGATAAGTAAATAAGTTACACAGATATAAATATTGTGCCATGTTCAGTCCCACTGCCGAGTCACTTCTCACAACAGTGGGACCATACACTGACATTTTAAGGGATATGCTAAGAGTTACCAAGCAGAGCAACTACTTCACTTCTTCTCTTGAATGATTTGATTATAAAGTTGGAGAGGGACACTAGAGTATCTTTTTTGGCACTGTTAAATACATGGCATAAATGACTGTCTGGTGACCTGGGATCAGCTTTTAGGATTGAGGTTTTACTTAAAAAGGTGACTCTGTCTGTTTTGTACATTGGGCATTGGAATATAAAATGGTATTCATCTTCAATTACCCCTTGGGTGCACAGGCGACAGATTCTGTCGCACCTTTCAGTTTTTGGCCTGGTGTGCCGCCCAGTTTCGATGTGGAGTTTATGGTCACTAAGACGTAGTTTAGCAAGGGTTGACAAGGTGTCATAATTTGTTATTTTATCAACATAAGTTGCCCTTTCACACTTTTGGTTAAGTATACGGAAGAGAGACAATTTACTGTTGGCTTGAAGTTTGCTATTGCACATTTGGGTAAAGTGGTCAGTTTGTCTTTGTTTGAAAATTGTGGTGAAGTTTTTTGGAGGTGACTGGCTAAGCCACACATCTCCAAGGCCAAATGTGAAAAGGATTTTTCGGATACCCTCAGACCATGACATACAAGCTGGCCTGAGTGTGTGGACTGCGGGTGGGACATAAGGTGTCAGCAACTTGTAACTATTTATCTCTTGTATGTATGCTTGTTTCATTAGTGTAGCATCAGACAATTGAATAATTTTACACCATAGTTGGACAGATGCAAACTGTATTTTGGTATAGAGGGGAAGGCGGCCAAGTTCAGTGTATACACCATAGTTTGATACATTTTGATGGAGGCCAAGGATTTGTTTGCAAAATTTTAAGTGCAACTTTTCTGTAGGGCAGTTATCCGTTGACACAGAGTAGCCCCATATCTCTGAGCAATATGTAAGGATTGGGGAAATGAGGGTATCAAATAATTTCTCTTTTAAGGATATGTTAACATTA